GACAATTGATAATGTTCGCAGATGATGGGCTTGCTGTGTTCACCTCGAGCTGAGAGAAAATTATGAGCAACAGGTAGTCTCAACGAGCGACACGCTTTTTGGCAGCTTTTTATGCCGCACGACTCACGTTTTTAAACTTGATAAGAATGGTCGCGATCGTCGCTCTAATCTCTAATATAGAATCGGCGTTTTATCAAAAGCGATCGTCGCGACTTTGATTTCTTCGAATATACTCATGCAAGTTTTACCTATCTAGCTACTTGTAACTCTGTGAGTCCCTTATGTGCCCTTATTAAAGACGTCGAACATCATGTTATATAATGTAAACACTAAAAAAACTGACACACAAGCAAAAAAAACCGAAAAAGACTCGAGAAGTCCCTTGACCTAAGGACTGTGCGTTAAAAACGAACAAAACTATGCAGCAACTTACATGTACATGCGAGGATAGCTGTTAATATTAGCAAGGAAGCAAATTTATCCATGATATAGTCAAACGTTTTCTCTTCAGGTGTAAAATGGATGAACAAGTGAATCACAAGCCTTGAAAGTTGTTCTATCAAAACTAAGATGATAAAAAACAAAAATATTATATCGCAATACAAGCACTTTTTTATCAGTGCGGTAAAGAAAATGAGATAACGAACTGAATAAGTATTTTGTATAAGATAACACTGAGTCAATGGTCTGATATTGCTCTATACTCACCGGTCTGGCGGTCTTCAACACTGAGAGGTCTTTTAGGCTTCTGGTCTGGTTTTCTTGAGAGCCGTGACTCGCGAAATCAAACTTGTTGTACTAGTGTAGCAATATTTGTTCAAGTCCTTTATAACAGCCAGCGGTCAGTTAAAGCTCAGCAAGATATGCTCAGAATCATCACTTGAAACAAGTAAGATAATACTGGGCATGAGTAGCTGGAAGGATATCATCACTCGATGAACAAAATTCACAGATGTACAACAACAACAAAAAGCAAAACAAAGAATAACTGATGAAGGTTGAGGCTTTGGGATTCGGGATTCCCATTCTCTGTTGGCTTTCTATCCTGGCTCCGTGCGTCAATTGCATTTTGCGCCAGTCTGATCAGTTCCTTTGGCGATTTTTCGGTTATGTTTCTTTCTGGATATTTGGTACCAGCACGCGCTTTAGCCAGTCGACAAATGTAACACAAACCTGGCTCACTAGAGCTCTGTATTGTTTATTCATTTAAAATGTCGTGCTGGATCATTCTAGTGCAGCTATAGGCTGTCTTTGTTGACGGTCCGAGAGCTGCCCCTGTTTGGTAGTTTTCTGCGTCCGCAATACTCATTTTCGTTTTCAGATCTACGGCTTTTCACATCAATTCACAAGCGAAATTCAAAATAAAGTGGAGTCCAGATCCAAGACACTGGATTCCAGAAACTCCAAAATCAAAGTTACATGATGATACACTTTAAAGGTCAATGTCGGCAGTGCTTAATGTCATTGAAAGGTCGGTAGAATGTTATGCTCAGTAGTATAGGAAACAAAAACTTATTGTTGATAGAGATATAATAACACTCAGGAGCATGGAAAACTGACAAATCAAACCGCCTTTCGCTGGAACAGTTCGCGAATTTAAAATTTCAGCCAATAAAGTTCGCAGGCATAGTAGCGTGTTCTTGAAATTGGGCAATCACTGCAGTCTCTTGTAATATACATATTTCACTGAAAACAAAATGCCTAAAATACGAAAAAAGTCATTAAACTGTTTGTTCTTGTTATTAAATAACACAGATGATAAATGTCGATATAACTTTATGCCAAAAAGTATAGAAAATCACTTTCCGCCGCCAAACATCCGCCAGGAGCCGCGGAAGTCCATTAACCCTTGAATATCTCTCCACAAGTTGTTCCTAAGATATCCGCTTCCTCACCACGATGACGAAATTTAGTTTGTTGATAATGTTGGTTTACTTCACATCTTTTAATGAAGTAAAAAAAAGTACCAGATTAATCACACTGAGACATGAAAGGCTAGGTCATTCAGAGGCAGCCCTAGCATACTATGTGAGGGAATCGAGATTTAATTAGTAATTGGAGGTTAATCTAGCAAGTATTTCAGATTAATAAGCAGGGGCTTAGCTGGGATTTTTGGAAGGGGGAGGTGGGGTCACAATGTGCCACACCCAGGAAACTCACAAGATTGGCATGTCGACATCCATGCCATGTTCTACTTAAACGAAGTCGAAGTCGGAGTCGTAAGAGCGCTTATGATATAGTGAAATTCGGTTTGTAGGCGGAGTCATAAGCGCGACGGAATCTGAGTCGGAAGAATCCTGATCGTTTCCATTTTCTCCTGACTCCGCTTACAGATTGTAGAAGTCGGAAGCAGAAGTGGAGGGATAAACTAATCACAATGCACCTTCCCACGCTTTGTGATTGGTTTAGTTCTTCCGCTTGTGCTGCGGAATCAGAACGCTGTTTTCACTAGACCGTAAAGTTCTACCCTTCTGCGGATTACGACTCCGACTCCGTCGCTAATGAAAACCAGCCTTTAGGCTCCGTTTTTTTAGAAGGCCCAGTAGTTTGTCAACGCAAGCGACCACCGAAGAGAGGTAAACCAGCCTAGAAATTGACATGTTAAAAAAATTGATTGATTTGACCCCAACAGCACTCGCGCATGCCCTGTCTCTGAGCTAGAAGGGTGACCTTACCATCACAAAGCAAATTTAAGTTTTGAAGCAAGGACCAGCTTACGAAAGAGAAGGACCGGATCCCAATAAAGAATCTAATCAGCAATAAGTGAAAAATATAAACCAAAAGAAGCAAGGCTGATTTTTTAATTTACAGTCGGGAATATATATATATATATATATAAGAGGTTTGAACTTGAAATCCGTAAAACAGTGCTCAATACATAAAGTAGAGCGAGTATACGTATGGTTGACGGAAGAAAACAAGTAACTACATAAGTATCCCTACAAGCCTGGGCGCATTCTATCTTCACACCTGCCGTACAACAGCTCAAGCAAACGATGCAACTTATGTCTTAAAGAAAAATTCCTTATCATCTGCCGACCTGAACTCTCTACACTTAACAAACGTAATGAACTCGTGTCTTCCTGCCGCCACAGAAACAAAGCCCTCTTGCGCAACAACTGATGTAACGAACCTCGCACTGAATAAATTATGTAAATCAGTCTAGTATATAAGTAATGGTAAAGTTATTCTCATTAAAATCCCCTGATGAGTGGGCAACCACGAAACAGGCTTGTAGGGATACTTATGTAGTTACTTGTTTTCTTCCGTCAACCGTACGTATATATATGCATATATTTTTTAAACTCTCAAAATATATTTGGACTTTACAAGATTCTAAGAAACCTTTCCAGATAAAATGGAAAAAGAAATGTAAACCCTATAGCAACATTAGCAAAAAATGTAATCTTTGTCTTTATGAAAAGTTCATCATCATTTGTAAAAAAGAGCTTTGTAGCCTAAACAGGCGAAACGAACTAGCGAGTTCATGCCCTCACAGAAACAGATATGTACTTCAGAACTCTAGAGTAACGTAACTAAGACACAATCCATCTGTTACCTAGATACAATCTCTTAACGCATCCCTATAACAACCACCCAAATTTTACTGCCAGCTTTAAATTTTAACGGTCAATCATTGAAGTTGCCTGATGAGTGTGGTCCTACAATTTCGGACCATACGAAACAGCACTGTCGCAATAAACGATCGATGATTACTCCTGAAGCCTGAACTCCCGTGATTATTAACACATATATATTTTTACCAATATTTCGGAAGGCACGGCCTTCCCTCTTCAGGGTCTTTCATATAATCAACTTTTTGTTTCTCAGGTTAACGGTTCCTAAAGTTTTGTAAAGAAATGTATGAAAAAATGGCTCGGGGTGACCCTAATACTTGGGAAAACTTTTTCTCTTTAGAAACAGGACCTTCAGATAAGTCGGGTTTTCATTAAGCGTGTTGTGGCAAAAACGATAAAAAGTTCTTTGGTTCTCGCCGCCATGGTCTTCTACCATAGAAACGTTGAAGAAAATCTGAGACCGTTCGCAGTCAAAAAAATTAAGATTAAAAATTAAGATTACCTGCAGATTGCAAAAACGCAAATGCTTGGTGTAAGATGCGTAACTGATAAAACGAGTTTGTGGAACCATAGATAAATACAGAGATACCGCTTATGAAATAAAATAGGAGAGCTTTCGCAATCGCGACAACGAGAACGTCAAAACAAACGAGCAAAACAGCGGTCAGTGAGCGGTAATCGGTCATTTCGCCCCCTATTTTCGAGTCATTTAACGCGCTTCAAAAGTAAGATTCCTCGACCTATAAGCCATAAAGCAAACCAAGCGCGCTTTATATGTGATATTTCTCGTTCTTTAAGCTATAAACCAAAACAAGCAGGCTTCAAATATAAAGTTCCTCGTTCTAAAATAGGGTGCAAAGTTACAGGGGCGAAATGACATGGGGCGAAAAGACCGTGAAGCAAAACAACAGCTCTGCACGTTATCACGCTTTTCTTTTTTTCACGATATTTTGTGGGCGTTTTTAATAAAACAATTATTCCACTCGCGCTTGTTAGATGTGAGATGATTATAGTCAGCTCGGCGCTACGCGCCTCACTGGCCACTGACCATCTCACATCCAACGCGCCCTCGTGGAATAATTGTTAAATATTGTGCATCTAGTTATTGCTGGTGTGCGCGTGATGTCACGGCGGCTTGCTGGTGGTCAAGACCAAAAGCATTTCTCTCCTGTGGGAAGTAAACTCTATTTTCATGTAAATTCTTCCAGAAAAAAATATATTGTATTGAACCCCAACATGGCCGCCTTGTCAAGTGGTTGCAAACCAAGAATATTGTTGTTGCTCCATTTTCAATTCCCCGCTGACGCGGGAGTGACAATTGTTTCTACGGAAACCAACCTGGATAAAACAGATTGTGAACCTTCTAGATGGGTTCATTTTCCAGTGTAATAAACAAACTTGTGTCGACAGCGTTAACTCATCAGACACTTTAATAATAAATTTTAAAATAAAACCTTAAATCTCATTTCATGTCAGTTGCACGAAGAGAAACATCCCCAATTAAGCGTTCTCCTCGACAGTAGAACAGTTTGATTCTCAACAAATGGTCGCAGCCGGAATGAACAGAGCTTGTTCGTCATTTTGTATTTAACACCCAAGGCAAAACAATCGCTTACATGTTTTTTTGCAAATTAAATCTAACTTTGGCAAACGAACTGTTAAGTATCTGAGAAGTCTTGCAGAGATAATTTTCACGCAGTACGATCAGCATTGCAGTATTCTGCTTGCGGAATTTAACATGTCTACATTATTATTTTTGCTGATCAGGTCTTTATAGATCCTACGTTCTTCGGCATATTCGTTTGCGGTCCTTTGCAGTCCTTTGTGGTTAATGTTTGCACTATCTGAGAAGTACTTATAAACTCGTTTAATAATAATGAACCTAGCATTATAGAAACTAACGAAGACTAGAGAATTTAAATCTAAGGACAAGATTTATTATTGTCCCAAATAAAAGCATATTATAAGCTTTTGTTTCTGTTAAACTCAACCCTTTTAAGGGTTGAAGTGGATTCTTAATTGGCGTAGAAGAATAGTTAAATTTTTAGCCTTGTTTCCAAGCAAGAAATCTTATCTATTGCAATCCGAAATATTATTATAATTTTTTAGCCTTATTAGTCATGGTTTATTGATCCGTTAAAAGGTTTCTTTTTTCCACAAGTTTATTATCCTGCTAGCAGAGGTTTCTTTTTGGCATGGCGTTTAGTAATTGCGAAGGCGTTCGCTAGGCTCGTCGGTCGCGTAACTAGTTGTTTTGTATACGCCCCGAGAGAAACTCTTGGGCGTAAACAAACCAACTTCCCGACGACTTCGTAAACGCTAAGACTATGCCAGAAAGAAACCTCTGCTCGCAGAGTACAGGTTAATACGCTTACGAATTTATCTTGTTTTCAGTAGTAAAGCAATCTAATTAGACCCTAAGCCACCTAAGAGCTTCGAAGTCGTCTTCAAGCAGACTGACATTTAGATCTCTTTGAGCTTCATACGACAGATCTAACGGTTTATATCCTAACTGTTTCATGATATGCTTGCAGTAATGCTCAATAAGAGTAATTTCATACGGCTCCACTTTCCATCTCCACCTGTTCGCCCCTTCTGCGGAATTCTGCCTCCACGGCGCGGCGTTTTGTTCGCTCGCCGTTTTTCCTCTATGCGATGCTAAATAGAGCCACTTGCTCAAACTGTCATCCATGGGTAAGCCTGCAAATTCCAGCAGGCTGGGAAGAAGTTTCAAAGGCTTTAGCGCGAGGTCTTCATAACGAAATATCTTTATTCGCCTTTTCCACCTGACCGGCAACGATTTAATGATCCGAAGGTTAATCTCAGTATTTTTACAGTTCTCGTAGGCGAACTTTCTTGTTCCTGATAAACCAATTCTTTCTTTGTCGCGATAAAAGCTAACCGCTTTAGACGACGGAATAATTCCCCGAGGGTCCCGCACCAAAAATAAAATTTTGCAGTCGAACTCGCTCGACGAATCGCAGATGGAAATTAACTGCTCAATTGTAGTATTTGGCATTCTTCCCATCAGCGCTTTCATCACAGTCATCTTGTATTTCGTCGAACAAACTTCCTCCACCATTTTCTGCTCAAATGGCTCTGGGCAGGCATCGCGAAGGCTCCACCTAGGGTCAGAAGTTTCGTACCGACAAAATGGCGGCGATGAAAGTGCAATGCTTGGCTGGGTGTCCTTTGTCTCTCTTCTCATCACGTATCGATAGTAATGCTGCAAGTCTGCAACGTGCTTGGGCGATACGAATTTACACTGTAAAATATCTCGTATCCACTCCCAGCTTTTCGCTTGGTAGTCTTTGTTGAACGGATCGACCCTTCCGTGAAGACGTTCCACGGTTTGATACGGCTCAAACAAATAAAACACTGAAGGATGGTGATTGAAAATAGTACCTGTAAAGCTGGATCCAGAGCGGCCATGAGCAATAATTATAAGGTTTTGTCTCCTATTGCTGTTGTTTGAAGAACCCTTTCGACTCTCTGTTTCTTGAGCATCGACCCGTAATTGGTCAATGGATTTCGGCTCCCCGTTATCAACATCAACACGTTTCTCAATTTGAGGTATTGCGAGATAAACCGAGAGAAACATATAAGTAGATATCAAGAACAGCACCACAGAAGTGATAAAGAATGCCCGCGGTCCAAGGCAACGAACCCAACGTCGTATTCTCCGGGAAAATGACATTGTGTGTTGGGCGGAATCAGGAAGAAAGATGACAAATCTCCGAGCTGAAACAGGAGCAACAGCTAACGAGTTTTATACAAATAGGAAATATTTAAACCATTTAACAATTGTTCTCCTATGGTTTTGCATTGTCACCATAGCGAAAAGAAGTTGTGACAATGCATGAGCACGCTACGCTTAACTAAAAGAAAGAGAATATTAAAAGGCGATTCACCTTTACATATATCATATCATCAGGGGCACCCATGCAACGTCAATTTTTGGAAAACATCTGTTCGGAAGACGATTTGAGATCTAGAATTTTCGGAACATTTTTGGTAACATTTCTTGCTTGTCTGCCTCTTCTAGGATTTTCGAACATCTAAAATACGGTATAATTGCCCATTTTTTAACGGATTTTTACACAAAAAAGGTCACCTAGAATTTTCGGGAGCCTTTTTTCTGGCTGAAATTTTCGAAAAGGTTAGTTTTGATCCCTATAATTTTCGGATCACTAGAGTTTCAGCTAGGAAATCCGAACAGATGAAAAATTTTTAGGGGATAAAAATATGCCTATATCTACCGTTTAAATACTAAAATACGTTTAACAATGCTATGTTTAAGCGGTTTTGAACTATATTCTCGTTGGGTGCCCCTGATATCATATGCTTTGAAACGAAAAGAGAGGACACAATGAACGAGGCATAAGGATATGGAAATGCTGATTATGAATTTTAAAAACGACATTTGATATAAACATACTTACTGGGAAGCAGTCGTTATCCTTAGTTGCACCAATCACAATTGAGATATTGAGGTGTATTTATATGCTACATAGCGGGGTACTCGTATGCATTCGCTTGTTTTGGTTCTAAATAACAAGTGCTAAGCAATTTTATTGATATTAGCCTCTGAGCGTTCAAAGTTAAGTGTCAGAAAAAAAGGAAAGAAAGTATTCCCAAGTTTAATATCGTGGGTAACAAATTAGCGCTGATTCATGCATTCACAAGTGAAATAACAAAATTACTATGGCCACTTTCCGTGTCCACGTTTTAAGATATTCTAAATGAAGAAGCTTGCGTGAGTAAAGGTGCCAGAGCGTTTTGTCAAAATTTTAATAATTTTTAGTTTTATTTTATTATTTTAAGTTACAAAATATGACGAATTACACTGCTGAGTAGAGTAAAGGTCGAATAAAACTTTAAAATGTCCGGGCCCTACGGTTTTTAGTTTGACAGTCAGTGCAATTTGTAAACAATCATAATCGCTCATAAACGACCGATAACGTTTCATGCCACCTTAAGTTTATCATAATTTTTCGACTTTCCGCTATTGTTGTTCAAGGGCTACCGTGCGGGCGGCACTACCCAAGAAACGCAAAGAAAACTTCTCTCTAAAAAAGACCACCGCAAAAATTTGATCGAAAAAAAGACCTCCACAACTTAAACAACTTAGAAGGCCAACTGACATATTTACTTCCACAGGGTTCGTTTGCCTGTATTTTTACTCAAATAAACGCAAGGGCTTCAAATACAATTGTTAGCAATCGTGCAAATGAATTGCTTGTGAGAAAATCAGACAGGGCCAAATGCAAAAATTGGTTCCTACAAAATATAAAATAACCATCGATCCGAAAAATTTATAGCCACATGCTATTAAATGCAACGGTGAACATACCTTCGAGATGACTCCAGAATAGTTTACACTGGAAAAACTTGAGAAAATTTCCGTGAAACTGCCCCTAATGCAGAAGAAACACTGTCGTTTTCCTAGCTCTTATCATGGTAGAAAAAGCCGAAAGTCCTTACGTTCGGGTGTTTGCATTTTGTTTTTTATTCGGCCGAACTAATATCGAAACCAGTCAGCTGTTCTTCCGTGACGTCATTAAATTTGCAAGTTTCAGCCGGTATCAGGGAAGCGGTTTCCGCTCGTGGCTTCGGCCACGTGTCGGCCGACCCCGAAGCATCACGCACGCAAAAAAAAGCCTCTGATACCCAAGGTACCAGTAAAGAAGACCAACGCCGAATATCTGAATTACTATCCGATCGCCATGTTAGTTTTCTTCAGAAGTAGCCTTGTGTCAAGTATCTCTCGTCTTTCTGATAAATAATTTAACGAACGGCTCAACAATGGGGAACCAAATAACAAACTTCGATCTACTTAGCTTCAGTAATTAACTGGTTTCGATTTTAGTTTGGTAATAGACTGCTTCGCTCGTCCAATCAGAAGGCCTTACTTACTTTATAGTTTATTAGCAAGGTTATTCAACAAATATCAGGGGGTCTTTCCGAGTTTTAAACCACTATTATCTTGACATTTATGTGAGGTGAATTTTAAAGCTTGGCGAATAATAAGAATGCTATTTTTGAACTAATCTTTGTACTCTGCCACTGAACTAAAGGTGATTCGTGGAAGATAGGAGGGAGCTTCAGTAACTACGGAGGCGACGGCGACAAAAACGGCAAAAAATTAATAGGTTTGATTAGATTAGCAAAACAGTAACTTAGAACGTGCATCACGCTTTTTTGTATATTTCTTTGACGCCACTTTACTGCACGGCTACGACATCTCTTAGTCTGAGCTATAAGACAAGAGACTTTAATAAAGTTCATTATTATTATTACTATTATTATTATTATTGATTATCTTAGTAAGAATGCAATTGACCTTGAAAACAGTTTCTTTATTGTTATTATTATATTATTATTATTATTATTATATTATTATTATTATTATTATTGATTGTCTTAGTAAGAATACAATTGACCTTGAAAACAGTTTCTTCTTTTATTATTCGAAATGAATTGTTTTAATTGAAATGAAATGTTCTTAATTTAAATAATTTTTGTTTAATGAAATGAATTTTTTTCTAACCAAAACTAAGTGTTTTTTTTAACGAAAGGAATTGTAAATAGTGTTTTGACGAAATAGTTTTTTTTCAAAGTGAATTAATCGTAAATAGGATTTTAATAGTTAGAATGTTATCAATTATTATATTATTATTAATTTTTTTTCTCAAACATTAAGAGGTTTGTCCATATATTTAATAAAAATAAAAAATATACATATATTATTATTATCATTATTATTATTAGCGCCTAGGTTTTGTGAATGACGAGAACACAAGACAACGACTTTCTATTCCTTTTCGTAAATTTCGATACAGTCTTTTAGAATTCAACTCCAGAAAAATTTTGCCAGTATTTGTCGAATTGAACGAGAAGGAATAAGGGTGAAAAAAATCGAAGCAGCGAGTATTCACTTTTTAAGTGACATTTCACAGCCGTCACCGTCTCAGTTGTCCCTTTCGTAAACGGTCGCTGCCATTTTTAAGACACTTAGAAAATTTTTGACCTGTTATTGGGACCGTTTCTATCAAAAAGAAAGAAAATCGCAACCCAGGTTCAAACCCGAACCTCAAACTCGGACCTTTCCTATCTTAAACTCTTTCCCTTACCACTACACTACCACGCCGAACCGCTAAAACTGCGAAAAATTGACGCACATACACTAGCAAACTGGCTTTCTTACAGAGCTTTTTACAAACATGCGAATTCTGAAGTTAAAAAGCCATTTGACGATTGCGTTTTTCACTGCCGTCATTCATCTTTTAAAACGAACCTCTTAGGAAACAAAACTTTACTTTAACGGGTTCAAAAGGTCATGGTTTCTGATTTGTGATTGGTGGATTTCCATCCGTTTTGTGCGTTTCTGTGTTTCAAGGTTGGTTGCTTGTGATCGTAATTATGATTGACGGCAGCGAAAAACGCAATTGTGAAGGCGGCTTTTGAACTTTAGGGTTCGCATGTTTGTGAAAAGCGCAGTAACTGTTACATCAATAACAGGTGACCCTAGGCCTTTTCGTAACTTTTAACGATAATTCAACTTGGCCCTCAACGTCGTTCTTTCGAACACTATTAAAAAACGTATTACAGATTTTCCCTACTGTAACTTAATCTAGGGAATATATTATAACATCTGTCATGCCTAAAGGCTTGGTTAGCACTGGTGGCATCGACTGTTAAAAATAGAGAGCTGAAGCAACGACGACGGCGACGGCCACGAAAAAACGTCAGTTAAAAAGTGAACTCATGCCGCCCCAAACTTTATCGCGCTTATTCCACCTCGCTTGATTCGTTTGATTCGTCAAATGAAATTAGGCACTTGCACGTTGTAATCGCGCAGTTACGGCAAAGAAATGTACAAAAAAGCGTGATGCACGTGCAAAGTTGTTCTTTTGCTAATATAAATGTATTGCTGTTTTGCCGTTCACGTTGCCGTCGCCGTCGTCGTTGCTTAAGCCCCTAAATGGCCAAGACCGTCCAGGGAAGGGAAGTAGGCGTCGCCGTCGTTCTTGCTTAAGCGGCTCCCTGAGGTTAACCGCGGTTGACGAGAGAAATTTGCAAAAACAAGTCAAAGTAGGTGAAAGCTAAATTTGTTATTTTCACTTTTCAAAGTTTTATACGTTATCAACACGCTGCCAATTTACTAAACTTGGAAACTAAAACTAGTGATATTTTCGGCGCCATTTTTCCAATCATTTTATACAAAACTGTTCGAGGAAAGTTACATTAACTTTTTACTATAAACATCCTTCGCGAATATTCGTAATTGAATTCGTAATTTTTGACAAAATGAAAACATATTTATATTCACTCTTCGACATATCCTTGCTGGACTTTTCACATGTCAGTAAAATCCACAAAGGCCTGGCGGTGATGACACACCCAACTTTCGTGACATCTTGTCGGGACTCAAGATTCTGTTTCGCTCATTCAGCGCGTAGATACGATGGAGAATTATTTCCTTTTTGTCTTCATCCGTTTTAGATTTGTAAAATTAATTCGCTTACATCTTTACGTCCTGAATCTTGTTTATACAGTTTCTAGGACGGATGCAATTTCCCTCATCTGAGCGGCGAATTTCTGAAAGCAAGAAAGTTGTGCTTTAAAGAAAAAGAATTATACTTAATAACCGGGCTGGCGTGAAGAATGGAATTTATCGCTCACGATTCTAAAACTGGTCTCTTTTTATGTTGAACGACAGAAGTTATGTCCTGGAAACGCAAATCAAAACACGTGTCCCTCTGAAAACGACTCTTCGGAGTAGCGGTAAGTCCAAATAACATTCAAAATCACTACACTCATGCGTCTAATGCCTATCATTTGGTTACAGTGTATTGCTGGTGTGCACGTGACGTCACCACGGCTATGCTGGAAGTCCAGAAACTCTACTTTCATGTAAATTCCTCAAGAAAAAATTTTGTTGTATTGACCCCCAACATGGCCGCCTCGTTACGAGGTTGCAGACCAAGATCAGGTGAAATTTTGAGTTTTTTGGCCCAATATTTCTTTGTTTTCGCATTTTCATTAGTACAGAATCTTGATCCCAAATAAAAACAATTGGTTTAAAATCAAACCAAGTTCCCTTGCATGACTGACAAATAACTTAATTCTCTTAACCTGTATGGTTGATCAAATGTAAGGAGAAATAAGACGCTGATTACCATAAGATGTAGGAGGGTTGATAACAGTGCAAACGGACAAGATAACACCTCTTATACTTTACGGTAGATTACCTTGAATTCACCAATTGTCATTTCAAAGGACTTTGTAAGGAGAGCTCCAGAGGGATCTGTGACTGTTACTAATGCTGTAATGTAGGGAGAATTTAGGCTGCGGCAAGCACTGGAACTCACACCAACAGAGAGCTTCCACTTCATGTCAACCAGCTGGGGGAAAGATGTAATTTCTGTCGTTACAACAGGTAGTTTGCAAGAAAATATAGATTTTTGTCAGAAGTGTTGAAAAAAATAATCGTCACCCTAGTTTTTGGGCTAAAATAACAAAAGCAAACAGGCCACAGTGATTTCCATTTTGAAACAAACTAAAACCAGTTATCCTGTCGTTGAACCTGTCTAATTCAAGCAGAAAAAAAAACTACAGTAGAACCTCTGCTCAACAGTCACCTAGGCGACAGGGTGGCCTTGTTATGGGAGGTAGGGGTGTAACAGGACTCTTCTTTGGTTTTGTTTCTTGTTTCTTTTTTTCCTCGGAGTACAACATGGTTATTGGGTCAAGTTCATGCTTACTGTAGCCTATTAATTACCTGTCCCACATTCAAAGTCTGTGCTAAGTCGGAGCTGCATAAAAGTTTCCCCTGCAAGACAAGAAATGTAAGAAAACTTTTCAAAAAAGTAAGTACACGGAAAAGGAAACAGGGTTCAAAATAATGACCTGATAACGGACATTGTCCAATCAGAATGGCGACTTGACTGGCCAAAAACTTCACACGCCAAACACGTTGAGCTAATGATTTGCTCACTGACTGTGTTGCTTTTCAAATTTTTCTGTTTTCGTTCCCGCTGCACCTGCCTTCATCATAGTAAGATCCCAAATTATTTTTTTCATGGAAGTACAATGTATAACAATCGACCACACCCTTGCCTGTTCATTCCAGACATGTTTTATAACTGAGAGAGTAGCTTCTTTCCAGCAGAGAGATGATTTAAGCTCTGTTATCAGTTTATCAGCAGGTAGTTTAGCTTTAGCAGCAGACCTTAGAAAATTAAGAAAGAAAAAAAAAAGAAAACAATTAACAAAAACATAAGAGGCATAAGAGATTCAGGGTTGCAGTCATCATAAAGGAAGACACTACAATTTATTGCTATTGCCAGGTTTTATCTAAGACGTGCCCAATGTTTGGGAATCCATGACATTTGCAGATTCTGGATCCCATACTGTGGATTCCAGATTCCAGGTTCTTGATTCCGGAATCAGTGTCCGTGGAACTCGGATTCCGGATTCCAATTGTTAGTGAGATCCAGATTCCTTGAGCTGTATTCCAGATTCCAAGGCCCAGGATTCCAGATTCCACAAGCAAAAAATAATTTCCCAGATTCCAGAATCCTGATTCCCTTACTAGGGGTGATAACACATCTAAGATTAGAGAAAACTAGATGTCATACAAACCAAATGTTGAACCACTGAATGTATCAATAGAAAAAGGAGATTGGTTGGTGATATTCAATATTTATTATTACTTTCTCCAGTGAAGGTTGTCACATGACAAAATAGCTACCCTAGATTTCGTAGTTTAACTTTTTGTGATTCAAGCAGAAAGAAACTACTGGTACAGGCATAATAGTAATCTTATAATTATAATCTTTTTACAACAATAATGTTTAATTTTTCTCTTTTAAGTAGGGTTTGCTATTTAACTGGGTGAATCATCAAGTCATGCATTATCCTACGAGCAGAGGTCTCTTTATTGCATGGCTTTTAGCATTTATGGGTAGTCATGCATAGAAACTATCAAATTTGATAGTGTCACAGTAGCTTGTGGGAAAAAAAAACACCTATTTTAGTGGCTCCAAAAAAGTAGCTGTGAGGTGAAAATGCTTTTTCCACTGAAACAAAAGCTGGAATGAGAACAAAAACATAAAAGAAGGAGGAGGGGCGAGAAGGAAGGTTTCCTTTCTCTTCCCTCCCCCTTCCCCTACCTCCCTTTTTTTTTGCTCTAGCTCCAAATCTTCGTGCAATAACTTGAGTGGAAACGCTTGCTATACAGCAGGGTTGTCACTAAGATTTCAAGTTGCCGGGTAAATACAACAAGTAGGCGGTGAATCAAACGGCAGGGATTTCTTTTGGTTCTATTTTTCTTCTATTTTCCAATAAAAGTAGCCGGGGGCCACTCTCTTAGTAGCCGGGGAAAATCCCCGGCCCCGGCTCTTAATGACAACCCTGTATACAGGCTAGAGAAATGTATTTGAATAGCACTAAGGACCCCACATCTTAACATAGGAGATCTTCAAAAAATCATAATCAAGCTAGACTGAATGTCCATACTGCCTTTTCCTCTTTGCACATACCTGAATATATAACTTATGGCATTAAATATCAGTTTTGCATCATATGATATCCCCGCACTTTGAAGACACTAAAAGATATCATAACAATGAATGTAATTAAAAACTGAGAAACCTTTGAGCATAGTTAAAGGAAGTGACCAGTGTTGTACGCTCTTGCCGTGTCCACTGGACCCGGTTCATTACAGAGGGTCTATGGACCCCGCCCAAATGGGGACCTGGTCAAAAAGAGATTAAATGGGGGAGAGAGGTAAATGTCCAGTCTTGCCCTTGGGATGTGTGAATTTCACCAAAGTTATTTTAAGACCAATTAAACACTTGAACTTCCGATTAATTATTAATCGGAAGTTAGTTTCCTTAGAGGTCCGCGGTTCAGTGTTGTCAATTGATCAGAATTCAACAGTCGTCATTACAATATTCTGCATTGTTTGCTCTGAAGCAGTCGCACATGGACTTGCTGACGTTTCAAACAATCAAGAATTAATCAAAATCAAGAATTAAGAATTAAGAATTATTGGATTACAGCTTCATTGCAACCTCTAAAATATTTTACGTGAAATTCACATTATCCAGGCCAATACCATGCGATGGAACTCAGCATTTCGGGTGATATAACTCTGCATCTATGTAATTTGCTGTTTGTAAGTAACCTGTTTTTGATACAATGCGGATAATAATTTTAAAAAAGTGGAGACGAGATGTTCCACTCCCAAAAGAGCAAACTGTTAATATTTATCTTTCTGAATAAAAAGCTTATTAGTAAAAAAAACAACTCTGGTTTCGGGCGACTTGACCATAAACCCAGCTGAGGACCCAGAACAAGGTTTTTGAGGCTGACTTGCAGATGGACTAAAACAGAGGTTTCATTTCATCTGTGGCACAGGCTATTCTGTGGCCTAAAATATTGTACAATGCAAGGTTTCAGTACCTTTTGATATTGCTCCAAAGGATATAATGCCAGCTTGTACTGGAGAAATGCTGCTGCATCCTGACACTACAACAAAAGTTTGACAAGTACATGAGTCATCATTGTCACATTCTTTGCTCACTTTTACTCTGGGTACCACAGGTTTTTTTCCTGGGCACGTGTGGCAATATGCTTTGGGGTATTGGGTGTTGTCACCTGTAATCACAATGGTTGATTCTTGAGACATTCCCTGTTATTAAAAACTGAATCATTGGATGATGCAATTCTAGAGCTCTGATTGGCTTAGCTATCATGGTATATGAGTCATTATACCATGCTCTCCAAATATGGTAACAGTACACGTCTGCTCAAAATTAAAAACAAGCTGAAAATTGGTTGTTTCTACAAATAAAATCGGGAAGAATTCTTGACATTTTGTGGGCATTTTTAAGAAAACAATTTATTATTCCACTCGCCCTTGGTGGATATGAGATGATTACAGCCAACTCAGTACTACGCACCTCGTTGGCTATCTACCATCTCATATCCGATGCACACTCGCGTAATAATTGTTAAGCAGAATATTATAAAGAGCCAAGTAGTAAAGCATCCAGATTCTGAATGTTTTCATATTTAATGGAGTTGTAATAGGCCATTTTACCGCTGTGGGCTTGTGCCCTAGCCTTTGAGGGAACTTGAGTCTGAGGTCAACCTTGTTTTGATACAAACCTCCTACCTTTTCTAATGGAAATTTTGCTTAACCCATTCACTCCTGGAGATTTTGCCCAAAAACGCGTTTTGAAGCTAGTCAAGTGCTTTTCTGGTCACTGTCGTGCTATAAAGAGCTAAAACTTACCACAAACCGGTTGACAGGTCGTACACTTGGTGGCCTCAAAACATCAGCTTGCGAAGTTCGGGCATTTCGAAAAGTGACACAGCAGTCTTGACTTTTACTTTTCGCTTTTTCTCCTCCCTTCTTTTTTCGCTTTTCTCGTCTCATTTTTTTTTTCTCTTGCATTTCGTAGCCTTCATTTTGGTGGGAAGAGATTTTAGGAAAGCTTTTAGGATCTTAGGATTAGGTGAAAGGAAAGGTAGGTGGGCAATGGAACAAGATTTTCATGGAGATTTTCAGGTCAATGTCACGTGTTTTTTTTGCTTCTTTCTCCGGTGTCCTTGACTGAATTGTGCTCATTCTGGTATGGTTTGAAAGATCTCTTCACTCTACACAAGTTAGCAAAGAAAGTTGTCCTTGACCGTTAAAACTGATGACGTCACAAAGGGTAGAAAGGACCTGGATCCGCACGGGCGGTTACAGGTGGTTCAGGGGCGAATGGGTTAAAAAATACTAGTTTGCATAACAACAATTAACAATTAGTTCATGCGGCAGCGTGCGTATGTCGAGATATTGAGCACGCGGGAAGTTTGGAGAGCACGAAAGAGGCGTAAGAGTTGCACGAGGCGCAGCCGAGTGCAACTCTAGCCTTTTGAGTGCTCTCCAAACTTCCCAAGTGCTCAATATCTCGACATACGCACAGCTGCAGCATGAACTAATTGTTTTATAACATTATCAAAGCGATCAATGCAGCAGTTAACTGAAAATTTTAAGCAGTACGCGTTAATGATTACGTGACTATATTTTTTTTCCTCACAGTTAATCTTATGTTTTTTATCCTGAAACTGAGAGAAAGTGTACTCTAAAATGATTGCAAAATCCATATTTAGGTGCCGGAAAACTTTTAATTTACCGAAAAATTGTTATTGAGAGAAAACAACTTTGCAAAGAATGATCTCACGCCATAGCCCGCACAGCTCGCCGAGATGACAACAACAACAACAACACTCACCTCTTTTCCTTACTATCGGTTAACAAATTCAAACCTTTCCTCTTAAATTTCCTTATAAAACACATGGTAAACGCTTCATTGTCTATTGCTGAGTTATGGATGCACTCGGGAGACTCAGGATTGCTAAGCTCCCAACAACTCGAGGAATTACGAATAGTTTATTGACGTCATCAGCGTGCTCAATAGGAATATGAAGCACGCTCGCGCTATTGAATTTGATTAGGTGAATTTTCTAGCTATGTTATAACATGATTTACATAATAAAGCAAGAAGGGTTGCATTGAAACAAGGTCAACTCCAGCCTCACTTCCAACTGTAATATTTATCATTAATAGCAAAATGGGCTGTTGCTGGTATTGCACTATTATATACTACTACACGAGAAATTTCTGCAATTTGATTGGCTTAGAGCAGTGGTATTTCAGCTTCATTTGAAATACCTACATGTGAAAATTACAAACCTTTTGCAGGTAGTAGTATAAACAAATAATAGCATGATTTGTACGCGACATTTGGCATAAATACCACTCGCAATATTTCAAAATTGTCTCAAATTTACCTATAACAATTTTGAAACATTAGTCGTGGTATTTATGCCAAATATCACTACAAATCATGCTATTACCTTTACAAAGAAAGAGGAGGGATAGGGAGAATATTTTTTGTACAGAGGTCAGGAAAATGGATCATGGATAAGGTAACAAAAATATATTCTCACTAAATCAGTTAGTAGAGGATAAAAGCTTAACTACCAAGGTGAAATCAAGTCTCTAAATGAAGTAGTCAGTTCATACCATTTCAGCCAGAATGTCCTGCGGCAATGAATTCAAAGCTTCCACCGCAGAGTTGAAACCTGGGCATCACAGAGTAGCATCACAGGAGTTAATCCTTTGCGTAACGGGAATGCAGATCGAAATACAAAACACATAAAGCATTGAAATACCTTGCGGAACATCTGTAAAGACCAAAGACATCTCAGCTACTAATTCAAGACGATTTGATACGACCCTAGTATCCCCTGGTACTGCATTAACGCCTCAAATCAGCTCCGCTAATCTTTGCACTTCAGCGCAGCCGCCTGCGCTATCGAACTGCGGATTCTCGTCAACAAACAATATACGTCACTTATACTGAAAGAAATCATCCCGAACTACCGAAATGTGAGCCTTCAGACAGGAAGTTCAGCACTATAATCCAAAATGGCGGTCGAAGAGGTTCATCTTAGTAGAATTGTTTAGAGAAACTAGAGAAAAATATGAAATTGGTAAGATAACAAGACATTGTCTTTCCCTTTCTTGTTCGTTTAAAGATCAGATTGTAATTTTTTGTCGTGCATTTGTTAGTTTTCTCTAGGCAGGACTAGCTCTTCGCCATGTTTAGTTCTTCAATTCAAGGGAACATCGATCATGCTGGATTGTTCGTTGGATATGTCCACCTTGCAGCATTTCATACCTCTATCTTTAGTGAATAAGTAAGTATCTTGAATGTCACCCTGTAACTCTACCTTTATATTTTTCAAATTTTAGAGAGGGAAAGCAGGGGCGAGATTGTGAAGATATACGCACGGAGGCATAGTTAGAGCGGCAAAGGCGTTCCAATTAGTTTGGGTCTAGAGCTAGGGGGTGGGGTGGGGTGGAGATGTATTTGTTACAGGTTAAAATTAACTTCAGGTTAATGCATCAGTCAATTCCAGCTTTTACAGATGCCATCAGTTTGAAATAGAATATTTATTGTTATTGTTTGTCAAGGTCTTTCTTCGTGTATTTTTTATTACCAATTTTGTAAGTTAGTAGGAGCAATTCAAATTGATCTATTTCACCAATTTCTTTGTAGTGAGAAAGTTAGCCAGGCAAAAGTGTGGACCACAAGGGAGTTACAAGACATTGAAGGATTTTCTGCTCAAAATGTAAGGTAGAAGATGCATTATGGACGAGTTGAATATTTAAAAAAAAAATACTAGAAAAAAGGATTGGACCATAAGAAGGCTTGAGGGGTCACCTTCACATTATTTTACAGCAGTATAAAGCAAGTAATTAAGCTGTAACTTTACTTGTCAGTCATTAAAAATTTGAACTGGTCAGCCTAACTTGATTGTCAAAACTTGAAGTAAATGGCATTATTGGCACTCAATAATCAATTTTTAGCATTTTTTTGTTTTAAATTGACCATACATGTAAAAGTGAGTGAAATATAAAAAACGTGCATTCAAAAAGCACTGAGAAAGAAACATCAACTAACATACATAATTATTATCAAGGAAGAGTTATGGATACTCTAGTGTGGGCCACAAGTCAGAGCATGATTTTATTGCTCTTCTTTAACTTTCTTTGTCACAGACACAAACACAAGGGCCACCTAAATTTTAACATTCAGACACGAATAAAAGTATGTCATCCATCTGGTATCATCATATTTATCATTTTGGGTTGATTAATGATGTTGGGCATGAGCATAATTCAGTGTTGTAAATGCAAAATGTCACCCTTCTAATGGAACGTTTTTCAAGTAAATTTTCATCTCACCTGGCTACTACAGACTCTGAGACACAAACTTGCAGTCTGGAGGGAGCTGGCTGTCTATACATGGAGTGATGTTCATCACCCTTTTTAACCGCTGGCTGGTTAGGTCAATTATTGGACAAGCGTCGGCCTGCCCAGTGGGAGACCATTGGTTCAAACCTCAGCCAGACCATTATCACTCAGGGCCTTTAAATAACTCAGGAGAAAGTGCTGCCTTTGTACTAAATACATCTGCGAATGGTTTGACTTTCTAGTCTTCTCCATGAGGACAATAAACTGTAGACCCTGTCTCACAACCTTTGCACATGTAAATCCTGTGGGATGTTAAAGAATGCACCTACTGTTCATAAAGAGTAGGGGGAATAGTCTCCCAAGTGTGGCGGTCTATCTCTCATAGGGGGAGGGACTGTTATGGACTCGCATAGTGGCACCACAGGCTGCTGTGTTGACCCTTCAAAGAACTGGTGAACCTAAATACATCAGTCAATCAAATTAACAATCAGTCAATGTAAACATGCATATAAATTTTCAAAGCTGTGCATTCTTTTGTACTGTAGTTGCTGTGTTATTGCAACTTTCCTTCAATGTTTTAAGTAGTTATTTTTGTGTTTCACTCTGTGGCTGACCAGTTCCCAATGGCTGAATTGGCTAAAATTTGTGACTCAGCTGATTTTTAAACGTTCCTTAAGGAGCCAGCTTTTAGATAACTTTGAAAATACTTCTTAATTAAGTTTAAAACTTTGTAATTAATAATTAGCTAACATTGTAATTAGTATTAGATTAAGTGTTAGTTGTAATTAGTTATTATAAATAATGTAATATAATCATTGTTCTTGAAAAGCCCCTTTGGGGAGGTAATGATAAAGTATGTATGTATTTACATTGTACTCCTCATTTTTAATATGCTGCATCAACATGATTTTTTGCCAATCTTAGAACTTGAAAGAAATTGCTGGGAAGATATTCATAGATGCTGAACCAAATTGCTGCCCTCCAGAGGTATTTAAAACTACGTAAAAGCAAATCTAAAAAGATGTGTCTTGACATGTCTCTTAAAAGTACCCACTGATTCTTATCACAGATATACGTGAGAAGGCTGTTTTACATGCACAATGTAGGGGTGACAGCAGAAAATGATCTAGTGCCTAAAGTTGCCAGAAGGTGCCCCTTAATTACGTTCTAAAACAGAAGCATGATGTAATTTTCTGAATGAATGTGCTGAACAGGACCTATTATGCTTACTAAATTGCTAATGTACAGCCTTATTAAAGATATTATCATGTTAATACACTAGCTGGCAACCAATGAAGTTCAAAGAGAACTGGCGAGGTATGGTTCTACTTCCTAGTGTTCATAATAAGTCTTGCAGCAGTGTTCTGGACTCATTGTAGCTTACAAATCTGAAATTCAGGCAGCCCATATAAAACTATTACTACCGTATTTATTGGACTATAAGCTGAGCGATTTTTACACAAATTAAAACTGAAGTGAATTGAAATTTGGGCTCTAGAGAGGGTCTCGGCTTATAGCTGAAAGTTTTTGAAAAAAAATTTTTTCCGGCGCATAGAAACTCTACTAAATCGAGATGTATTTACGTATAAGCCGAGCTAAAGTAAAGAAACACAATATGCAATCGTTGGTTATTAACTTTTAAGAATGTGGTGGCTTTTAAGAATGTGGTGGCTTATAGCCGGGTGTTTTCGATTTATTTTTGGTTCTTGTTATGCCAAGTCTACACGTTCAAAGTTTGGGGTCTTGGCTTATAGCCGAGATCGGCTTATAGTCGAATAAATATGGTAGTAACAATATTGTAATTTTGAGGTCACAAAAGCATGTCAACTGATGTCTATTTAGTTCTTGTGAATGAAAGTTACGTAAATAAAATATGCATGCCTCTTATGTTAAACTTTTCAGTCCCAAAAGTGACCAAAAACAATATGAATTTCAACAATTAAAATGCAACCAATTGACGCCAATGCTTATACAATTCAGGGCAAACAAGGTTTGTTATGATAAATCCACAAGTGGGAAATTTTTGATTTCATTTCAATGCCATAGTTAATTAGGGCTCTCATATTAAATTTTTTTAAAGTTTAAGACAAATGTTAACAAAACTTTGCATGTACAGGCTGAACTCTAAAATTCAGCATGACGAATGGGTATATAGCATACACTATATTATTTTGTTGAGGTAAAATAAAGTGACATCAGTAAAAAGGTCGCCATTGGTCGCCATGTCTGCAACTATTATATATGTACCTTGCAGATAAAAAACTGTAGTACTCTTTTTGTGTCAAATTAAATTTTTTGTTATATGTATTTTATTTCAGGAGTGTCTGCTAGACTTTTCCAACATCGATATCATTTTGATATCCAACTACCATTTTATGTTAGCTCTGCCATTTATAACTGAAGTAAGTGGACGTATATGATATGAACAGGCAAGAAAAGTATTCTTTTTTTATTGAAGTCCCTCATTTTTTCCTAATCTAGCTCTTTTTTTCTAGCGTTCAGGTTTTAAGGGCAAGATTTATGCAACTGAACCAACAGTTCAAATTGGCAGGTAATAATTTGTAGTTTGTTGTTTTTTCAGTTTCGTTTTAATTTGGTTTTTTTTATGCATGTGTGTGTTTGTTGATTAGGGAGATTTAATAATATTACAAGAGACAGGAGATTCAAGTTTGCAATTTCTAGGAAACGAGCAGATAAAAGTCAGTGCAATGTAATTCTTGAGGATGGACCTGATATAGTTCTACATATTTTGTGTACACATGATGACAAGTGAAGCAACTATTATTCTTGTGATAAAATTGACGATAACTTCTAGAAACATGATTCTAAATTTTCTATGAATAATTATTAATAAAATTGCTTCTGTACTTTGGACATGACTCCAAGGTTTCAACCATTTACAGTTGACCAGTGATACTAATTTGCAAACATGTAGTCAATGTCAGCCACAAAACAGTTTCAAAACAACCCACAAACCTACAAATTATATTCTGCAACTCATGAATTCCCTTTTTTTTTAGTGTTACCTTTTTGCCCCTAATAGTGTGCAGAGACAAAAATTCACAAAATGAAGAATTCGCTCATTGTATCTGTAAAATCCTATAAAATAAATAGGACCATGCAGAAGTACTGACTGCAAGATGTTTAAATGGTACCAAACACTATATATAGGATTTCATCTACATGTTTAAAAGTTAGCATGACTTTAATACTCTCACCATAACATGGTCTCAGAATGAAAGAGTAACTTTGTGAGTAGAATTTTTCATTTTAATTTGTAATCATTCTTTGCCTTTTTTGATTACCGGTAAATGATTTAAAGGGAACTAATGCTAGAGATGGTGGTGTATGCCGAGCGTGTGCCAAAAATTAGTAAAGGAGACATGTGGAGGAAGAGTGAGGTTTTAAGGTGAGATGATTTAAATAAATTTCCTGGTGGATAACACATTGAACTTTCTCCATTTTGGGCTAATTTTTTCAGGTTTCTCTGCAGACTGGGTTGGTGTTGAGTCAAATTACACTGTGGGAGTCTGTTTTGAGGACGGGTCAGAGTCTTTATTAAGGGGCTGGTTGTTTATTACCTGTGAGGTGGGGCCGTCTATTTTGCTGGGGTTCATTTTAAAATCTTTATTGGATTTGGGGGTAATTTTCAGATAGGAGAATTATTATCTGAGGGTCATTTTAATAAGGTTATGAATTTCAAAGTATTATTTTGCATGAATTAAAATTGAATGTAATAGCTGTAAATAGTAAACACTGATTGCAAAACATGACAGTTTCACAATTAATAATATGTAAAATTTATGGGTAAACAGTTCTAAAAAGGTAGGATGAATTGGGGGGTTGGTTCGAAAATCTTCTAAGCTTTCTCACAGTCTCTGATGCTTTCCTATATATCCTCCATATATATATATATTTTTTTTTTTTTGCTTCTCTTTACCCTTTTATTTCTTTTGCTTAGCAGTTTGCTGGATATCTTTTCTGAAAGTAAAAATTTTAACAACAAAACCTACTGTTGGATTGTGGAGTTGCTTTTAAGAAGTATAGATGTATACAGGGACTCGATTTTCATTCACATTTTTACTCACAAAATTTTAATGAGAGCTGACCTGATTTTGCATGTTTGTTTTTTGTTTTTCACTTTTTCTGACAGGTGTCTTCCTCCACCTCTTTGTGACTTAAAAGGCACAAAGTCATGGAAAACTCTCTACAGGTAACTTGTATATGTACTCTAGGGGTTTTGTTTTCAGCTTTGTAGTTTATAATAAAGTGCATTGCTCACAAGTAAAATGATTTAAATGGCGCTGTTCAAGCAACTTGTCTTTCATCCGAGCCAACAAAGGGATTGTGGGTTGGATGTACAGTATGAAATGCTTGCTTCGATTTCATGAGGATTTAGATGGGAGCAGCATTGCCGAGCAAATAGAGCACTGGACTTGTAATTCAGAGGCCCTGACTGCTAGCTGGAATTGTCCTCAATAAGTACAGAGTTCAAATTCCAGCCTTGCTTGCAAAATAGCCAGCTGGTTTGCCTCTAGCCAGTTGGAATTCTTAACCCTGTTAAGTTTGATTTGAATTATTTTGGTTTCAAACATTTGCTTGGCCAACTAGCATTAGTGGTAAGTAATGGGATAATAAAGCAAATATTTTGTGCGCCATTTCCAGTGAGCAATATTTGAAATAATCGACCCCTTTTGGTGCGAAAAAATTGCTAATCGCCCCCAGCTATTATTTAATATTAAAGGAAATACGGTATGACAAAGACACACAGAAACTCTTTCAATCTTTCAACCCTCTGGCCAAACTGCAATCTCTTCCCTATAAGCAATAAATAATAAATTCTATGAGACTATTTCTAATAATGATAACTGATACCTTACTTGAATTTGCTTGCTCTGCAGCAAAGATGAAGTGAGGGCTTCCATATCGAAGGTTCAAAATATTTGGTATTCAGAAAAAATAGTAAGTGTTTCAAATAGTTGTCATTGTCATGATTGGTTCAGATGGTAGCTCAATTATATCCAACCCATAATCCATTGATATTCCCCCTTGACAGAGCTATTAACTTCTACCACAATTTTTTGGAAAACTGTAATGGCTAAAGAGGTAATTCCACCTTACTGAGACTTAAGTTTAGTTACAGAGGAATATGTCTATTTAAGCTTAATATTTATAGTAAGATCCAACATGTGGGATATTATCAATGCTGCATTCTGATTGGTTGAGCTACTACAAGGCTATATGTTATAGCCCACTAGTTGTGAAAAGTGCCGGCTTTGAAAACCAGAACAATGGCAGCTGAATCATGTTTTGCTAGCTAAAGTTGTTTGGTCTTGATATTTTTGACCAACTTAGAAGTTAAATTTTACTAAAAACAATTATTCCTCTCGCCCTAATGCCCTCTGAGTCAACAGCCCATTAATTAGGCCTTCGGCCTCATGAGCTATTGACTCAGAGCCCATTTGGGCTCGAGGAATAATTGTTAAATATTACTAGTAAATAAGCAATGGTTGCTGAGTGCGGGCAGCAACGATCGAAGGTCAAAATGCTTTTGCTCCCGCACTGTGCTTTGCATAAGTTTTACAATTGACAGATAGTCAAAACATGCGTGATCTAGCCTGCATAACAGGTTCTTTGTAATATTCTTTATCATAATACTGTTTTTATATTTATTTTTTTATCACAGGATCTGTTTGGTATTCTAAAGCTAACAGCTCTCAGTTCAGGGTTTTGTCTTGGAAGCTGCAACTGGGTCATTGAGTCTGACTATGAAAAGGTATGCAGTGCCATAACAGTGTTTCATTTCTTATCATCTTGGCTCTTGTGGCCCACCTTTGAATAGGTGGAGATTGTGCTTACCACACTCCCCTCTCCCCACCTCTAACCCCCCCCCCCCCCCCGCCCCACACTTCTCTCTTAAACATAAGTGCAGCAATTAAATCCTGAGGACAGTTTGCGGTCATGTCGCCCCCAAACTATCTTGCCATCAACGAAATCGCCACCAAGAAGTCGACTCGCCACCAACGAATAACTCTGAAATAATTGACACAATTGAATACCTAGGTTTACTTACTTAAGATTTTTACTTTTTTGTCAAGCTTATTCGAATTTAAAGTCAACTCAAATACAAATCTATTGATCCTTGTAGGTTATCTTATAGGTTCTGTGAATGAAAATTTTGATATTTGAGTGATTAATAACTGGTAGAATCGTTTCACAACCACTGGTCATTTCTTTGAAATATGAAAATAAAGTAACGGTTTTAAAGAGACTTCTGTTCATGAAGGTTCAAAACAATGCTAAGCTATTAAAGCTCTATTCTTGGTGGTGAGATGGTTGTAAATTTTTAAATCTTTGTGCCGTCCTTTATTTCGATCATGTAATGGAAGCACCAAAGTTTCCTTCGCAGTAATCACGTTCAGCCCTATCTATTTTTTATCCTTTATTTTAGGTAATATATTTTTAAAGGTGGTCCTTTTCATAAGCCTTATAGGCTTCCTAATGCTTCCTTGCGTCATCTTCTTTTTAATTTTATTTATATATCGAACTTAAATAACAAAATGATAAAGTTGAATAAATAAATAATAAGTTGTTGAAGACAAGAAAAACAGAACTCTTGGGCTATTTGAAAGCTGTTTACGACAGCTTCATTTAAGTATGTCTGCATCATTGCTGGGTATGTATTGAACATATTGAAGCCAGAACATCAATATTAAAGATGCGTAATTTGTTTTGATAAAAACAGGTCAGCTACATTTCGTGTTCTTCAACGTTTACAACTCATCCCTTGCCGATGGACCAGTCCTTGTTAAAGAACAGTGATGCTTTAATAATGACCGGACTCACAGGGGCACCAACCGCTAATCCTGACGCTATGTTGGGTGAATTTTGCACGCACTTAGGTAAGCAAAGTTAAAATCAGACCTTTTTTCGTGGCACTTATAGTAGTTCAGTGTCGAGTTCACTATGACTGCTGAACAAGAGAAGTGAAGATGCATTTTTTACAGGCTTATACTCCATCTGAAGTAAATATGTCCTCAAATTCCAAAGAGAACAAGAACTGTTTATTTCTTTGTCTATTGTGTATTTTCAAATTTCAAACACTTTCTTGGCGGAATCTGTGAATATTTTACTTCATGTCGAGGCTGACCATTAATGTTTGTTAATTTGAAACTGGACTATTAGCCTGGTAAGCTGTTGCACCTGGAGCCCATAAGCCGAAGAGTGTGACACGCCAATGCTGAACCCTTGTATGTACAAGGTGGGGAGGGGGGCGGGGGTGGTGGTTGCCATGCCTCCTCTGAGGTTTTTTTATTTTTTTCCTATAGACAATAAAACATCAGCACCTGGCGTTTTCAGTAGCTGTTTGTTTAATTCTTGTGCGCATTTGAGAAAAGTTTAGTGATCGTCAGTTACTATGGTTACGATATATGACGTCATAAGTAGCAGGTGGTCAAGCCATTTTTGTGTGAAAATGCACGTTTTTCAACAATAAAAGTAAAACTTGTGGATGAAATGATGCAAAGTGCTTATTTATGTGTTATTTTACATGTCCAGGACAGAAAAAATTGCCACTTATCGCGATTTTAACCTGATTTCTAATTCTTGGTAAAATCCAAGCTTACTGTAACCCACTCATAGCCCATGATATGAATGGTGCGCGATGCGAGAAAGGTAGACCACACGACCGGGGCAAACTTCCCCTTTAAGAACCTGTTAGGCTAAAATTTGCCAGTTAGACCCCTCTATTAAAGAACTTGTTCAGCTTAAAATTTGAAACAAGTTCTTATTTTCTAAAATCTATCAAAAAAATATTGTACATTTGGGCAAATAAGATAAGTCAACATTCAGGATCTTCTCTGGAGACATAGGTGCCTTATAATCATTCCTTCATGTGCAATTGTAATGCCATATAGGTTTTACCTAAGGAATGAGCTGAATATCACTGAATACTCGTAGCTACAATGTATTTTTTTTCTTCACAAAATAAGAACCTTTTTAAGAGCCTAAATGGCCTAAAGGACCATTACATCTATGTAAGAACCTGTTTGGGCTAACTTGGGAAAATGCTTTTTCTCAGTGACGGGTTTTTACTGTATTGCTAAAACATTTTTTCTTTGCAAATTATTTACCAGTATTTTAATATTGTATTCCACAGCTACTACTCTAAAAAATGGAGGAAATGTCCTTGTGCCCTGCTGTCCGTCTGTAAGTTTTTTTAAAAAATTAAAGCAATGAGGAGAAATTGCTGCCTTTGTAATTATTACGTTGTGAGTGGTTAGACATTCTAAGCTTCTAGGATAAGAACGGTTAACCCATAGGCCCCGTCTCACAGTCTTTGCTCATACAGGAATTCTGCGGGACGTTAAAGAACCCACACTGTAGAAGGGACGTAGTCCCCGGTATGGGTCCACAATCAGTTAATGCCCGACAGATCAGATTCCTGGGCCATTGTCTTCGGCGCCCCTAGGGTTACCTTATTTCTAAATACGCTTTGTACCACCCGACACATGGTAAACCAATACCTGGTAGACGTAAAAATTTAATTCTATTCCACGAATATGCTGCAAGGCTAATCAATTCAGAAATCTCCTCCCCGCTTCCTCACGAAATTCATACTTTGGCACAGGGCCGCAAAGCTTTTGGGTCTTAGGGACTAAGCAAGCTCCAGTGTATAGTCACTGAAAATGTCCTTATTATGTTTGTTCTTACAGGGCGTGCTGTATGACTTGTTCGAGTGCCTGTACTCCTATATGGACAATGCCAACCTAACCTCCATTCCCATCTATTTCATCTCTCCTGTGGCCGATAGTTCTTTAGCCTATGCCAATATTTTTGCTGAATGGTATGACGCAAAAAGTTCCTTAGGCTTAAGTAGCCGATTTTCAATGTGAAGTAACCAGAAATTCCACAGCCACTGCAAAGTCAACAATGCCTTAATATTTTTTATCGATTGCTCTTCCACAAAAGCCATATGCTGAAACTACTGATTTTTCTGTAGTTTGAGCTTAAATGTCAGAGCCGGCCCAAACGGTTTTGTCTGTTTTTTCTTTGTTTCAGAGCGCGCTTAAGGTGATGTTACACGGGACGATTCGCAGCGACAATTTTTAGTGTAACACAGGGTTGCAATTTTGGAACGATGTTGTAGCTACTCGAAACAATGTCGCAACAATGTTGCAACGCTTTGTTGAGCTAAAAATCGTCGTTGCGAATCGTCTCATGTAACATCACTTTTAAAGTTCCCGGATATATCGCGTCACAATAAGCCGATGCTAGCAAAACTCTCAAGGCCCAATGGAGTAAAGGCCCTTGTTTTCTACTTAGTAAGAAATGATTCTCCACTTTCTAACCTTAAGTCAAAAAATATTATTTGCTTCGATCACTGAGCGTTTTCTCTCGCGCTGAATTGTCGAGAGCTATGTTCGTTAAGAGTACGACCATGAAAATAACGTGATGGTGGGGCGGTTTATTTTTCTCTTTCTCGCGCGCGCGACTTTCCGAGAAATTTCAACGGAAATGGACGTCAAAACAGTCAATGTAAATAAGAGAGGTCTAGATTCGAAGACGAGGACGACTACGAGAACGGCATTTAATTTTACGTTTTCTCGCCTATTCTCTAAAATAGACACCCCGGAAATCTTCTTTGTACTGTTTTTCACCACCAAAGTAAGCACGCTTATTTCCATTGAAGGAGGTTGAGCCCTCTCCAGATCGCTAAATGAGAAAATTTGTAACATTTGATCGCCCCATGTAAGGGAATCCGGATTCCGGAATCCAGGAATTTTTTGCTTGTGGAATCCGGAATCCAGGGCTTTGGAATCCGGAATCCAGCACTAAGAATCCGGAATCCTACTAAAGATTGGAATCCGGAATCCAACTTATTTATTAAAAGATCCACTCCAGATTAAATTGAGCTACTCGCTCGAAAGAAAAAGGCATCTATGGAAAGCCTCCCCAGGGTATAGACCTGAATGTGACGACATAATATCGGCATATTTGGCCGTCAAAACAATAGTTCACGAGCTCCATATGAAAGGTCGAGGTCACGGTCACATGTTTAAAATTCTATAATAGCCAGGGAACCCTTGCTTATGAGCGGCTGGCAGGATCACAAAATTCGGGGGTTTTCAAGGGAACACAGCGCAACCTTTTTAAGGTATAAATTGAATTGTTATAAATAACTTCGACCTCTGGCTATGTTTGATTCTCTTTTGTTCACTCGCTTCGCTGAACTTTAAAAAATCAAAAGCGTTTCTATGCATGCTTTTTGACCTGGCATAGGACTGGAAAAGGTGCACCTGGGGTGAACCTTTTCTTGAACCTTCCTGGTCCTCCTGGTTCACAATTGAAAATAAACGCCTACGTTCAACAGTTTACCAAAAAGAAAAAAAAAATTCACAGTCTCCTAGCGCCTAATTTGGTCCTAGTAGTTTCGCTGAGAACAGTTTCATGGTTTCGATAAGTAAAAACTTGCAAGAGGTGACAGGCCGCACATCTTCACCGGTGTGAAACCTTTGAAAACCTTTTCCATATTGCTCCACTGAGGAGAACTCTTTCAGGAATCTTACAGTTTAAAATTTGAACTAGGATATAGCTTCTATATAGCGGGCCAAGATACAGCTCGGTACAGTTTTTGTTCAGTAAAGGAAAATTGTGTAAGTTGAACAGAACCTTTAAAATGTACAACAGACAATTTATTCGATGTATTCCTGTTGAGATTTGTCTACTCAAAAATATAATAATTTTTCCAGTAGCTGCTGTTATCTTACGGTATCTGCTTTAAATATCTCCGTAAAGTTTAGGTTTACGCGATCTCAGAGAGCACAGTCTTTAAGTATATCCAGATCCGACACTGGTTTTGTGTATTTATCACGTCTTTAGTAGAAGCATGATTTAAATACATTGTGATACTGTGTCCTTTGGATGTCGCTTTGAAACTCAATCGCTTTGTAAATGTGACTTGTAGTTTTAATATGAGAGGAGAGTATTTTAAAGCTCGATATTTTTCAATACCATTGGCATGTTGTTTTTTTACCAATCATTGACTGGCTTCTTTGTGCCACTACATAATGTCTGCAGTTAAATATAAGTTTACAAGCAAGACCGGCGGTTTCGAATCTTACGATTCTCATCAGTTGTTATGTGGTGAGATAGTTTAGGTGAACTCTGAACCATTCCGTGTTGCTTGATTTGGTAAGCGTTTATATATCCACCCTGGTTTGTTTGGAGGATCGAAAATGGTGCGGTTTGGTTGGTTCCTTGCAAAAAACCAATCAGGTTGCTGTAGGTTCGATCCGTGTTTTCTCAAAGCTAGGTTGTGTTTTTACAAAGGTTTAAATTTGAAAAATAGGTGTCTTGCCTTACTTTTTTGTGAAGTATAAAAACATCTTGTTAAAATGTGTATGATGTGTAATTGTTCCTCAAAATGGCGCGGGACTATGTTGTACTTTTTTCGTTTCAATTTGCGGTGATGGGGTGTTTGTTATTATTCTTTTTTTTCCGCGGCGTTGCGGTGTGGACAGTCCCCCAATGTTCCCCTCATTATTAACCATAAACCCTTACGCAACTGTAATACATTCTTCCCTTAATTTATAAATCGAAAAGAAAACAAACTTGTTATGCATTCTAACAACGTCTTTCAATATAGCAAGATTCGAACACGAAAACGAAATGCGAAGAAAAGCATTAAAACAGAAAAAAATTGGAATCCAGCCCTTTTTGGAATCCGGAATCCACTGAGCTGGAGTCCGGAATCCAGTAGTTAGAATCCGGAATCTACAGTGTGGAATCCAGAATCCAAGACTGTCATGGATTCCCTTACATGGGGCGAATTTGATAACTTGTTTTCGCCACCACGACATGCTCGCTAAAACTCGTGGTAGGCTGACGACGGCTACCACATTTTCCCGCCAAAATGATGGTGGTTCGCGCGCATGCACTACTTAGTATTGGGAAAAGCTCTCTATTGTAAAAAACAAGTCGACAACAGTTTTCCATGGTTTTTACTCTTATCGACCATAGAAATTAGGTCAAAATGTTCAAAACTTTTCAGTAAAACCACCCGTTGAGCGGTTTGAACATTTGCATCATTTTTATGGTCGATAAGAGTACCGACCATGGAAACTTGTTGTCGATTTGTTAAATAGCCTTGACGTCAACGAAGAATCTTTTAAGGTCTTCTTTGTCAGTAGGTGATGCCTTTCCATAAGTACATGTACCCCGCTACCACTTCGTAGTGCTTAATATTAAGTGGCCATTTCCTGGGCCCATAACTGAATGATGTATGAGATTTTCTTTCTTCAACATCTTGTCTCTTTACAGGCTCTGTCAAAGTAAACAGAGTAAAGTTTATTTACCAGAAGCGCCTTTCCCACATGCTGAGGTATTCTATGTTTTAAGAAGTTTACCCGTCGTAAAGAAAACACTTGCAACTGAAGATGGTCTTGTTTTTTAATCGTCGTTTATTTATTTGTGACTGTGTTTTCTTCTTTCTACAGCTTGTTAAAACAGGAAGATTGAAACATTTTCCTAGCATACATGGTGAGTGGAGAGGTGATATCTGAAAGGAGGAAACGCTTTCACATTTATTAGTCAAAACTTTAAAATTAAAGAAGTTTCCTGAATTAATTTACACCTTTTTTTTATCGTTTTACAGATGGGCTAAGCAGCTGCTTTAAGACTCCCTGTATCGTGTTCACTGGACATCCTTCTCTACGATATGGAGATGTGGTGCATTTCATGGAGCTTTGGGGCAAATCAAGTGGAAATACCATTATCTTTACTGGTATGTACTCTTGTTAGAGGACGGTAATGGCTTTAAAGCACACTTATTCGAAACCATACCTCATCACCCCTCCCAGTTAACCTTCTAGTGTCCCACCCAGCGAATAAAGGATTTTCATTCTATTTCCAATGTAACGCCAAATCATCATCGGCATCAGGATGGCTATCATTATCGTTATTTTTATTATCATCATCATCAACAACGCCATCATCATCATCATCATCATCATCATCAACATCCATCACTTATTTTCTAAAATTCTTTCCGTGAAAAGAGTAAAGACTACAAGAATTTAACCTTGATTTGTAATCTGTTAGTTCAATGGTATCATCTTCGCTTCATCCGCTAATAGAATCCTAAGCCCATTCCTGCATTACGGTACCCTTTAAGCATTTTTTATAACCAAAACTGAAAAGTCTTACTAACTTGAATTACAGAACCTGAGTTTCCTTACCTTGAAGCCCTCGCTCCATACCAACCACTGGCAATGAAGGTGAATGAGTTCATGCGCGCGATTCTTTCTTCAAACTATTACTTGTTTCGTATTTTTCCACTTGACTTTCTTGTTCACTTACATACTAGGGTATGGTTATGGATGTAATAACGATTTCACTTTATCCAAATATAATATGAGTCATATATTATTTCTTCAAGGCATGTTACTGTCCTATTGATCCGAGGCTGAACTTTACTCAAGCAAACAAACTTATTCGTGAACTCCAGGTGAGATGGTTTACCGCTTTAAGTGTTTACGGACGTAGTTTCACTCTCAACATTGCTAATGACTAACATATCTGCCCCGTATGCTCTTGATCTATTTTTATTTAGGCCATAACGCAAAATAGCCTCACGATTGTTTTCAAGTAGAAACTTGAAGTATAATGTTCAGGCGCGCATCCACACCGGTTTCCACCGTTTTACCCAACTCGGTCAGATTTTTCATAATAAATATATTTTTAATAAATAAACTTTCCAGGTTGAAATCTTGCTCCATATCCAACATACAACATGGAAATTAACCTTCATGAAATAATCCGCCGATTTGCAAGGCATCATCCGAGGAAAATGGAACTGGCCAATATCTTGTCTGAATGACTCACTGAAACCCGGGAAAGGGGACTTTAGGGAGTGGCGCATACCCGGCCCCCCCCTCCAAGAAGCTTGTACCTTCGGTTCTCGTTTAGGAAATGGGTCAGTATTTATCCTAGATCCGCGCCTGATGTTCATGTTCTGTTTTCTTTTGCCATTTCAGCCCGGCCACCTTGCCATACCGGAAGCGTACACAAGGCCACCTGATTTACTTCCCCATAGAACAGACTTAACCATTCAAGATACGGTGAGCTCCTTATAGTCACTCGCTGCTTATTTGGTTTTCCACAGGTATAAGATTCTTACGACGAATGCGTATTCACTGCTTATCCTGGGAAACCAAACTTATCATAGTGCTCTCTTGGGAGCGTGAGTTTCCCTTGGGAGTCAAAATAGTGGAGATCTTTTATTACGGACCTTTAAAAAAAGAAGAGAATTCTTCAGTCATGAACAGTTGTCAATCTAAAGAAAGTTCGTTAGAACTTTCGGAGCCCGTTTTAATTCCATCTAAGTCCATGTTAGATCTCACCGGTGTGCGGCCTAGTCTTGGTGCCGAGGCTGGTAGGTTGAGATGGATAGAAACCTTGGTTGATTCTGTACGTTATGGGTCGTTGCTTGTAGATGCTAATCCCCTCACGGACTTTGCGCAATGGAAGGTCATGGCAAATAATCCCAACTCTGGAAAAAAAAATAAAGCCTAGATGGTTTCCGAAAGCTGTTGTGAACTTTCTTTTCTGCATTAGTGAATCAAGAATTGCTTTAATGGTAATAAATAATAACAGTCGGTAAAGTAATTATTAAAAAACTGTTTTGGACTTCTGTTTTCCCTTGTTTAGAAACAAAATTGTTGGTTCCTTATTGCATCGGTGGAGGAGGAGCTTAGTTTCATTGAATTTTTAAAGTAGATGGACCACTGTAAACCGATTAAAAAGCTTGAACCCCTTTAGGCCAGCCAGTTTAGCTTATCGACTCACTTAAAACAAACAAACAAACAAACAAATATTTAGACCATTTCCTTTTGGTCTTATAGGAGTGCAAGATATCTACGTTCAGCTTCTTAGATGTGCTTTCGCTCCCAGTGAACAGGCAATTTGAGAAGGTTATTTTGTCGAACGAGGTCAGTATATCTCACATATGTTATCCGAAATAGGAGTTAATCAGTGTAAATTTGTTATATAGTGGTGCTGTGATGTTTTCTTTGGTGCTGTAGATGGTGCCAACACCAATTGACGCTATATAAAAGGGTGATACAACAAATGTAATTTGTTCACCCAGGAAAAACTTAGGAACTCAAGAACTCCAATCTTGGACAGGATAAAATGAAACAGCAACCCTCTCCCCACCCCCACTGCCCCCCCCCCTCCCCCCATGTTTGATTTTGGGGGATGGGGGTCTAGATTTTCCATATATTAAAATTTTATTGTTGTTTGAAAGTGCTTGTGCGTTCCAGATCGAATTGGAATGTGCAAGTGTTGTTTTGAGAAGAGGAAAAATCGGAACTCCTGCTAAGAAACTTCTCAAAGCAATGACGAAAAACACAAACAAACTCAAGACACATGGTGTTGACGTTAGGACTTGAGCACGAGCCACAATGGCGGGAGGCGAGAGCTTTCAACGTTGTGCTAACTTTGCCCTCATACAACATACTTCTTTAGGTTACAAACTATACTTTCAGTAATAATTTAATAATAATTTGAACATATTTATGCAGGATTGCTGCTTCAGTTTTAAGAAAAAAACTGCTATCAATGCAGGTCCTGTAAAAAATTAAAAATGAAAAAATAAAAATAAAAAAGATTTAAAATATAGATAAAAATCAAATCACAATATTACAAAATAGTCACACCAAACGAAAGATCGAACAGTTATAAATTCTAAGAATTATTAAAAATTATTAAAAATTTTCGCACCTTTGTAGAAAAAAGCGCGCTTGGTGCATTCTAAATTAATTTTTTCCAAAATAAAGTCATTATTATTTCTAGTTTTGTGGCGGTGAATGTCACGGTTTCTTACATTGAAATAGTTAGAAAGGTATCTGGGAACTCTATTTGCAATGCACTCATCAACAAATCTTAAAATGTGTGTCCGTCTTCTATAATAGAGAGGTTCCAAAGGTAGTGTAAAAATTATATGAAATGTCTTCTTTGTTTAGTTGGCCAGCAGTCTTCACCCACAGGAAGTGAGGCCCGGAATAGCGGTTACCACGGTAACTGGAACCTTGGTAACAAAAGACAATAGATATACACTAGAACCTTTACACCTGTGTGGAGACGAGGAGCTAGATAAGAAAAGGCGAGTTTATTTCATTTTCAAGCTTACAAACAAACAAAACACTGAAGATTGTCAAGGGCGCCCAAACAATCTGAGCGGATGTTTCCATCAATTTCCAACGGATCGTTAGTGACTTGTTAGTGATGTGTGGATTGAAATCCTAAACTGAAAAGTCCGGTTCATCCTTTCTTTGGAAGGTTTTTATTCAGTTTGAGATCTGTACAATCATGTGAAGATATACGTTTGTTCCCCTTGTAGCAGATTCCAACCTTCAAGATAGTGAAGAACGCGGATCGAGAAAAGTTGCGCGAAAATCGCGTGGGGGCTGGGGAGAGACGGAGTAGTGGAGCCCCTAAGCATTGTCTTCAATACCTCATTGTGTAGTTCCTGAAAATGTCAAATCCCTTCCCCCCAACCCCCCGTCACAGAGGGCACTCTTGCATTAGACCCCCACCTCTCTGGCACCCCGTGGAAAGAAAATTTCCGTCAAAAATGCTGTTGCACTATTATGCGAAAGATCAGTGTACTTCAACACTTGCGTCAATCATTTGGGTTCGCATCTAAAAAACATATCGAGCACTGAAACCCTCCTTCTATACAGCGCATCTATTGACGTTTTGAAATTTGACATTTTGACATGAGAAACGCGGGGTAGGAGGCGGGTTGAGGTATTTAAAAAGATGCGTACTGGCTCTCCCCGTCTCTCTTCCCGCTGTTTTTCTATTGTTCGCTATTTCACTGCTCGCTTGCTTTTTTCGCTCGTCCGCACTGACCGAGAGCCATGCACACTATGTTAGCTATTCAGGAGCCATAATGGTTTAATTTTCATTGCCTGTTTTACACCAAAGCATTTTTTTACTTAGGGACCCGAAGATGGAGCGCAAAACTTCCCAGAAATCCTGCCATTTATGGGGCAGTGTACTCGTGGAGGATCTTTTACGATCTCTTGGAAAGGTAAGCCTGTATCATCCTAAATCAATGTATAAATTCTAATCTCTATCCTCCTCCCGCCTCCCACGGTAACCAGTCACCGCGCCACGAAACTATCTCTTCACCAACGAAATCGCTACCAAGAATAGAACTTAGCTTTATTATATTTATAAGTCCCAATTATATGAGTCCTTTCAATTTTTTTGATGGTTGAGACATTTCTTACTATTAATGTGACTATGTGATACAGTTAAGCCTTAATGTGTTGCTTGTGATGGACTGTGTGACCGCGAGATGCGGTTCGCAAGTCCAACCCACAAAAAATGACCCTTGCTTGCCACCGAGTCCTCAGTAGCTCAGAGGTTAGAGCATCCGAATCTAGAATACGGAGGGTCGTGGGTTCGAATCCCATCTGGGGCTCAGACTTTTTCTGTGTCCTCTTATGGTTGATTCTTTACATCTCCCTTTATTTCCTTCATAATATTAATATCAGTGGCATAGATATGCAACAAAGTAATGAAAAAGACTTTCATGGACAGAAATTGTCTCTTAACCGTTATTTTATTTTTGTTATTATCATTTTTCAAAGAAATGACGGTGATTGTGAGACTTCTTTATCTCTGAAATGTCAAAGTTTACATTCATTTAACCTATTACCCAGTATCTGGAGTATTAAGGGCATACGAAGTTCAACGCAAAGAACGTCAATTAGGATCGACAGATTTGTATCTGAACCGACTTCAAATTAGAGTAAGCTTGACGAAAAAGTAAATCTTCGGTAAGTAATCGTAGGCATTAAACTGTGTCAATTATTTCCGAGTTATTCGTGGGTGGCGAGATAACCGTAAATCCCTCCCATACCCTACCTATAGCGGACATTGACTTTCGATGTACTTGTCTTTGAGCGTGATTTTTATAAGGTACTGAGTCCTGTCAATTTTACCGTTCTTTTCTTCTCCAAAGCGAGGTATCCAGGATGTACACGTAGAATCTAATCAAGGAACTCATACTCTTCATTTGGTGAGTGGCCCTTTTGATCTCAAGAAATTCAAGGCTTTGTTCACACCACACTGGATACGTTTTGCGCCAGCACGAAAACCATACCGGATAGGGCTTCTGTTCACACCGCATTCCCAAAAACGACATCATAGTAGCTACATAAGAACGATAATTTTGGCGCGAAGTCTGTGACGAAACGAACTTGCGCCGCGCCGATCTCTAAGTGGAGAGTCACGTATCGGAGAGGAGTTCACACCATTCGGGATAGCTTTTCGTGTCAGCGTTAGAAGTTATCCGGTATAGCGTGGACATAGCCTAAGTTTACTTCAGTATTCGTTTTTGGAAGTTGTTGTTAATGTTTTTATCATTTTGTCCCTCTCAGCTTGTCGCGTTCGTAAGAACGCATCATAATCTGGTGTTCCTGTGGCACAAAGGCAGAAATTTTCGAGCTATCACCGGCGACTGCCGATGAACCGCGCCTTTTAATTTTATCAGGGGCACCTTGGCCGGGAAACTGGACTCCTTTCGACTCAATTTCGTTTTCGAGGCAGCTCCCCGCTAAAAAGCACTCCCACATTCTTATTCCGCCAGGGTTATGTTCTCGACGTATCTCGAACTTAAATTTATGACGTCGCCCTTCCGTGCATCCTTATAGCTTAGCTTTGTCAGCAGTAGATTAGCTGAAAGGTTCTACTTCTTTAAGCGGCGTTTTAACCCATGCTGCTAGTTGACTTTCCAAGTCGTAGTCCTAAATGTTATTGTTACTCTTGATTGCAGGCTCAAGATGACGCCATGATTCAACTGGATGGGAGTGGAACGCATATCGTTACACATGGAAACGAGGCTTTAAGAGTTGACATCCGGGATTCATTGCTTGACTGCCTGTCACAGTTTTAAACATCATCGTAAAAAAGGACACATTCTGTGACAGTCATAGAATGGAGAGAAGCGATTCCAAAAATGTCGGCTTCTTCTTCAGGATCCTGGCTGGTCTGTGCAAAACTTGGAGAACAAATTATCGCGTTCGGCGCCCTGTTTCCTGGGACTCGGGTTCATTGATATTCTCATCAAATGCCAAGGTCACAACGTCCTCAACACTAAACGGGGTATCAAGAAGACATTTGGCTGACATACTGTATGAGTTTTTTGCAGCAAAGTTTTTACACGGGGATTAACCAGGCTGCGAACTTTTGCTGCACTAATTTCTTGAAATAACGGTTAAATAGCCCACTCTCGATATATTAAAATTCTAACATGACTCAATCGACTTCGAGGCTTTCTGGTTATTTGTCCAAATTTGGTTTGGTTTTCTTTGTGCTCAAGTCTCTTCTGGGAATTGCGAGACAATGGAGTTGTGAAAAATTTGCAATTTTGACCTCAAAGCGTCGGAGTCATTAGAATTTTAATATATCGAACTCTATGTGGGTCATTGTTTGTGCATGAGAGGCATGGACCATCCTGAATCGAGCGAGAGACTGGGTTGGTGTTGTTTCGAATTGCAGTATGGGATTGTTTTAGTCTGCGTAGCAGTTGTTTTCGTTTCCTTTTAGCCAAGCAGAGAAACCACCCAAGACACGCCCGAGGGGGTACTCCTGGGAATTCTCGGTGGGATTGTGCCGCCTGGTTCTCTACATCCTGACCCTATTTCAGACCAAAAAGTGTCATTCTCCGTAAAATCCACCCGTTTTCAGACCTGGCCTCGCTAGGCAGAATTGATGTCATCGTTACTTAGATTAGAACGCAAACAAAAAGATTCTTAAAATGCATTTCGAATTCGCATAGTTTTCTTTCTTTCTAGTTTCTTATTCATTTGGAATTGAAACGACGAATACGTTTACACACTCCCTTCGGGGTGGCACATACCTATATAACTTATGTAAGGGAGCACCCGCCGCGAAAGACACGCGAGGGCATGGAGTAAAAAGGAGCAGTTTTTGTGTTCATTTTACTCCAAGCGAGACCTTTAATACATCTCATGTTTCTTGGGCATCTGTAAAGTAAAAGCACGATTGCAAATCCTCATGTGGGTCTTATCAGGAGGATCGTCTGTAAATAAGTTAAACTTTTAGGATGTAATCGACTTTTAAAGCAAATAAAAATTGCTTCACCATTGTCTCATGTTCGTCTTGTAAAACGGATTTATTGATTGAACATCGAAAGGAGGAATCTTTTAATCACGTGCTCAAAAGATCCTTGAAGTCTGAAAACTGGTACGAATTGGCGGTTATTTTAGCAACAAACGGCCATCGCCGCGTTAGCCTGTTCTAGGTTCCGAGATAGTCGGGTCCAATGAATTTGAGAAAGCGCGATGGCGAACGTCAAAAAAAACAAAAAAAAAGACGGGAGGAGACTTTTTCCCGCCCCGCCAACTTTTCGCGTGCCTTTCACTTTGGCGTCTTCCCGACTCTCACTATCTGAGAGCGTGGAACAGGCTATTACCACGTTGAGAAGTTAGTCTCGGAAAAAATCCTACCAAAGCGACGTTTTAGACGTTTTGAAAAAACAATAATTATGCTCTCTTCTATCTTGACTCCCTGCGGTTTGTTTTGCGTCAACAGCGATCGTAGTTCTCCCTGGAATTCATGCCAATTATTTTTATTTTTATTTTTTTTTTTTTTCAGTCCTACCTACGCCCTCAAACTCCGGAATTGTAGGATTTTATAGGATAGACGCGGGAAGGTATATGGTGGAGGAATCACCTTTTATAGCTCGGTCAATTTCAAGAATTCCCCTACTTCCGGGCATGTGTCAAGTGGGAATTCGTCACTGTTGAGGTATGGGCAAAACAGACTTCCCTCCCTCTTTTTCCTGCCCTTTTTTCTTAGAAATAAGCAACGACGACGGCGACGGCTATCATACAAATCGTTTTCAATGCTGCTGTTGACATGAGCACATTCTACAGTCGTCCCCAGAGAAACTGAAGACAATGCTTAAGCAAAGTCTTGCGGGTCAAACAATGCGACTCCTTGGAAATTGGGGTACCTGTGGTTTTGCACACAGGCAAATTCATATAAACATACCACGTGACAGCCCTCTAGCCGAAGAACGGTGGTCGAATATTTGCGGAACGGACGAACCTTTAACTAAAACCAAATGTCGCTTATCGTCCACGATACGTTATCATTGACAACAGAAACTGGAGTCAGTAAGATTCAGTTGTGCATCGGCGACATCACTAAGCTTCCCAGAGAGGAAAAAGTCGATGTTTTGGTTGTTTCCGCGTTTCCCGGTAAGCTCGTCACAAACATTGATAAACATGCACAACTCGTATCAGTTTACTAAACCGTTGACAAGTGATTGATAATCAAAAATAATTCTTGAACTCTTGAACTTATGTCATCCAGTTTAGAATAAACCCTTGAGATTTCTAGGATTACGCTTTGTTTAAGATATCATATGTAATTTGATTTGATGCTATGATTTTCCGTATATTGGACCATGTGCATGCCGCTCTTTTGATGACAAACTATTTGACTAAACTCTCAACTTTTGCTTGAGCTTAATTTTAAAATTACGATCTAGATTTGCTGTCACATGGAAAATGGATATCTCGATCACTGAGGCTTCCGATTTTCCCCTTAAGTAATCCATCAAACTGCTTTCATAACTGCATTTGTAAGCCCCGGCCGGCCCTGATTTCCTTTCAAATTTATCATTATTACTGTTGGTTTGAAAACTGTTTTTTTATTCACGTCAGTTAGTAAGTGGTTTATTTATTTATTTTCCTCCGTAAGAACTGCAGGTTTTTACAAGAAAAGAACTATAATAATGTTTCTGTACCATATTCAATTTTTTCTATTCTTTTTTGTAATGTAATTCAGATATTCCTGAGTCCCGTGAAATTTTTGCTTGTTGCTTGTGAAATTTGGACTCCTGTTGGAATCCGGACTCCTGATAACAATTGGGATCTGGAATCTAAGTCCCTGGAATCCAGAATCTAGAGTGTCCAAGACTGTCTTAGGGTGCTTTCCATTTGTCAGAACTCAGGCCAGCCAGACCATTGCCGGGCCAGTCAGTTAGCAAATGAAATAAGGTTTTTGCTGAAAAACCATCTCCTTTGTGTATACTATTTAGGATTTGACTGATCTGGCTGGACAGTTTTGATTAAAAGTGAAATCCTCATTACGACGGGAATTGCATGGTTTGGCCGGTTTGTTCTGACAAATGAAAAGTGTGGCCCTTACCTACCTGGATCTTGTTTACTGTGGGTAATGTCGACTGAGATATCGGTCGACATAGCGGTCGACAGTCGGTCGATATAGCGGTCGACAGTCGGTCGATAGTCGGTCGACAGTCGGTCGATAGTTGGTCGATAGTCGGTCGATAGTCGGTCGATAGTCGGTCGATAGTCGGTCAATGGTCGGTCGATAGTGGGTCGATAGTCGGTCGATAGTGAGATAGACTATCGGCCGAGTATCGGTCGATATTCCGTCGACGCACCTCGACTTACTATCGGTCATATGTCGGTGATATATCGGTCAACTGTCGGTGATATATCGGTCAACTGTCGGTGGTATGTCAGTCAACTGTCGGTGGTATATCGGTGAACTGTCGGTGGTATATCGGTCAACTGTCGGTGGTATATCGGTCAACTGTCGTTCGAATATTAGTCGTGTGTTAATTTATCAGGTGAGTCCAATTTGCTTTTTTTTTTAAGCAAAGACGTCATTAATTACTGTTATCATGCGATGGGGAACATGTGGCAAAGCAAGGCGCGATTACGCTATGAAGAGAACCGAAGAGCACTGGGAACTAAGGACATGATAACCTTTTTTTTTCCAGTTTGTATCATCACCGATCGTCTGAGTTTTAGCTGTTAAACAGAACCTGTCTCAGCCTAAGTTGAATCTGCTGCTCCTGTGGTCCCGCAAAAATGTAGGAAAATGTAGGAAATGCTAAGTGTCGACCGACCATCGACCAAGTGTCGACCAATTACTGACCGACACATCAATCAAGTATCGACCAACTATCGACCAAGTATCGGCAAAGTGTCGGCGAAATGTCGGCGAAATGTCGGCGAAGTGTCGGTGAACTAAAAGCTATATCGGCCGAGACACATCTGGAACAACTATCGGCCGTGTCTCGACCGAGTGTTGACCCACTATCGACCGACTATCGACCGCTATATCGACCGACTGTCGACCGAGTGTCGACCGACTATCGACCGAGTGTCGACCAAGTATCGACCGAGTGTCGACCGCTATATCGACCGCTATATCGACCGATATCTCTCGGTCGACATTACCCACAGCAAACAAGATCCACCTACCTTACATGGGGCCATGCAATGGTGACAGGTCCTGACAAGTGCAAGTGTAAAGGAGTGGTTTCAGGGGGAGGGGCAATGCTTTTGTTGGAGTATTTCATACTAATGGCAAGTTAATCATGTGAACTATATTTCCATGATATTTTAAGGTGATTATTCACCAACTCCGTCTTCATTGATTGGAGCACTGGCTATCAACCTTGGTATCAGTGTCCGAAATCTTTCTCAAGACAAAGAGGAAGATTTACGTAGACAGTACTTCTGTTGGTGGTCCAAGCCGCTTCCTGAACAGTATAGCTTTAAAAGAATTCTGTGTTTTGAGGGAGGATTTGGTAGTCGAGGAAGCCAGCCACCCAAAGTTGTTGGAGCTGTGTTCCGATGTCTTGTACCAATTCTTAGTGGCAAAGATACCACAGATGGATCAGTTATTATGCCTCTTCTGGCTTCAGGAGATCAGGTACAGTAAAACCCTGCTTTACAGACACCTGCTTATATGGACAACTGTCTTTGTCCATTGGGAGAGAAATTCTTATGTTTTCTCTTACCTTATTACAGGAAATTAATGATGCACTTCATTAATGCGACTTTAAAAAAATTGCATTAATTTAACGCATCTTAATTTTCATCGATGTTAATGTAAATTATTAATAATTATTAATAAGTTGGTGTGAGAGTCAGCTTTTCCATTTTGCTTGAAGGCGGGAACTATTCTCAGAATATATTGGTGCCGGTACCCTGCAGGTCCGGTCTTCTAATGAAGTGGCAGAGGTCTCCAGGCAACATGGTCAATTAAATTAGATGATAAGTAATGTTCATTTAGCATAAGCATACCACATTTCTATTCTTCAGATATTAAGCAAGATGTACCGCATGGTCACTAGGGAACATTTCACTGCTCTAGTCTTAAGGTTTAACTTCTATTTTTGTGTAATTTTGAAGATGGTTAAAATGCTGCATTCTACTTGTAAAGCAGCAAGTATTATCTAGTTGAATTTCCAATTTTTATTCAAATCTCAGGGTTACTCAAAGACTCTCATGCTGCGACTGATAATGAACTCTGCAATACACTGGATCAAGGCTGGTCTTTCATTGAAGACGCTCAAGATTGTCTTGTTTTCTCGCAATCCTGAAAAACACAGCAAAACAAATGAGCCACTCTTCGATTGTTTTCAAAATATGAAGGACAAATATGATGAGAAAGATTTGGTTTATGTGAGTTGAACTTAGTATTTTCTTTTTTTCACATTAATAGGCCATTTCCAAGTTCCAAAAACTCTTCCTTTCAAAACAAGGTTAAGTGCACCTGCAAAACCTTGCTTGCGAAAAAGGGTTTTATGTGCATGAAAAGTAAAAGCATTGTGATCATTACAGCTTCGCAGTTAGCCTTGATTTGAAAGAGAGGCTGGGGGCATCGTGGAAATGGTCTGTTTTATGGTTGTTGCTGTTGTTGTTGCTGATGAAAGTGAGGCAAAAAATGTAAACAAAGTTTCACATTTATGCTGTGTATTAAAAAGCTTAACTACAAAGGTATGACTTCCCTGAGACCTTTCCTACTCTGTGGCTACGCATTTTTGGATGCCCCACCCCCCCTCTGAGGACTCTGATGTGTTGTTTTAATCTGTTTTGAAGCACAGGATGCCCAAGCATACTAGTGAGGGAATGGAAGTTGTAAAATTTAACACTCTATTAGTGGTAAAAATATCCAGCATATATCTCGAAATAACCAATTGAAAAATACATTCCATTTGTAGATACTTTTATTCTCAGTCATCTATCAGCTGTTTTAAACTAACAAAGGCAAGGAGGCTTTACATGCAAAATTTTGTTTCTCATTAAATTAACGAGTGTGAGAGCTAGCGTCAATTCCCTGTTGTGCCCTGTGACTAAAAAAAGACTATATTTATAATACTTTCCACAGGAAACAGAAGTCTTGTATGATGTTTACATGTCACACAGCCCCAAAGACCATGACTCAGCCCTGAAAATTGTAAAGTTCTTGCAGACTGAGAGTAACCTCAACGTGTTCTATGACATTCAGGAGCTTAATGATGATGAATCGTGGCAAGAAGAGATATTTAACATCATGGGAAAGTGTGCGCGTGTTATCGCCTTGTTAAGTCCGGGATATTTAGAGAAGGAGAGCTGTATTGAACAGTACAACATGGCCCTTTGCATTAACAGGCGCTCGAAAGGAACAGTGCTGGCACCATTTTACATCACTTCAATGGACTACATGCCCACATACATGAGCCTTATTCAGTACGAAGACTGTAGGTATGCTTAATTAAGCCTTTAAGCCCAAAGAGTGATCAGCATCAAATTTCTCCTTACAATATCAATGTTTGTTGAACAGAGTGGTCATGAGAATTACAGACATGATCACATAAGATGAATTTGCTTGATATTTCTTCAACTTCTCTCCACTACTTCTGTATGAAATGAATGGGGGCAACAAATGAGAATTCAAATTTTGATCTTAGGGTTTAAAGGTTTAACCCTCTTTATTGACTCTACAGTTAAACCAGTAATCAAAGTCCTGAAATAATTGTAGAAAAAAGAATGGGAACTTTAGGCGGCTGCGGCCATCTTTTGGCCGTCCCAACAAGAGTTCCCCCTTTGCTGTCACCTCTATTAAGTTGCCATCAAGCGCTTGATACACTTACTTTGGCTTTATTTCAAGAATAAGATCAAGGAAAATACAGTCCGAGATGAAAGGTGATGACCGTTCGTGGACCAGAAATGCTGCTCCCGTCACGTGTTTTTTTATTTTTTCAAAATAAAGTGTTCTTTCTCCTCAAGGTTATTTTTATACATGATGAACCTCTATTATTGGCCACCCTTCATTAAGCGGCCACTTGCCGGTACCAACCCCGAGGGTGGCCGTTCAATGGAGATATTTGCCTCCAAAGTTAGGATTTTTACTTAAGTAGCAACGTCGATGCGACAGCAGTGAACCGCTAGCGTTTTTTTCAGTCTTCGTTGCGAGTATCCCACCACGCTTATCAAAAATATACGTAAATCTTTCTGAAGTTGAATTTTTAAAGACCACAATTTTGTTAAGAAAGAGAAAAGTCGGTAAAGAAATGCACAAAAAAAGGGCCATTTGACCGACCTCAAACCCGGCTAGAAGGAGGTATTTGTTAGTCTAACTTATCCAAATTCCCTTCCCCTTCCCTTCCAAACGCCTTGCCACGCAGGCTGGCTAACTCATTAAACTGATCGCCTACAGGCCAAGGGATGAACAAAAATTCAGAACAGCCAGTCACAATGTTGCAGAATCATTGAAGACAGCGCAGAATGCTGTTTCCCCTGGTGCGATTACAGGAGGTCATTCAACGTTAAGCTACGATGTATTCATTTCATACTGTCATCAGAACAAGAATCACGCTGAAAAGCTGTTGGCTACTCTGAGTTCTATTGATCCAGATCTGAAGATCTTCATTGACACATCTGGTCTGAACACAGGAACGTCTTGGCAGCAGATGCTATACAATGCATTAGGTTAGCAATCTTTGCTTGCGGCAGAGAAACACTATTCCGTTAAAACTTTGTGTTTGAAACTGTACTTTGCAGTGGCTCGGGGTATTACAGGGTTCGTGCGAGTCATGGGAAACCTGGAAAGTCATGAAATTTCAGAATTTTTTTTTCAGGCCTGGAAAGTCATGGAATTCAATTGTTGGTCCTCGGCTGGAAAGACAAGGAAAATTAAAGTTTAGAGTAGTTACTGCAGATGTCAAGTAAAGGACAATGTAAGATAGAGACGAGGAATTAAACAGCGCGAACGGCACGCATTTTGGTGAACACCAGATTTTGTGTCTGTTGAACTGAGTTAGGTAAAAAAGTACCCTAAAACACGGAAAGTTTTGAGTTTGAGTTAGCAAAATTGTGGAGGAAATAGGTTATTTTGGGAAGCTCTGTGGGAAGGATGGTTATTTTTTTGTAGCCCTGTAGGGTTTAATGAAGCATTAGACTGTTCACACTCCCCTATTTTTTCGTGAGATCGTTCTTACCGTCACGGCTATCTTGATTTTCAAATGTACCGAGGGTGCGGGCGTCGGGGATTATAACCGCCCCCGCCCCCTAAGTAGTTTTGACACTCATACAAGATGGCAGCCCGTAACGCAAAGCGCTCGATCTCGATGATCTTGCGGAAAAATAGAGGACTGTGAACAGTCTAATGAAGTATGGGTGAAGGGAATTTTTTTGCGGATGGGGGTGGGTATAGGCGAAAGGAGGTGGAAATATTTTGCAGACATAGCACGTGATTTTGCCTACGCCTACCCGCCTCCCTCCCCACTGCCGGGGTCGTAATGAATAAAACTGAGCCTCCTTACATGCAGTATATAATCGAATAAGCTGATGAAAATCAAAGGTCGACAAAAATGCATAGCCGTGAAGGGTTTTTTAGCTGTTGAGGAGTGTAAATTATTATTTTATTTTAGTACAGTGGGGTGCATTTTCCCCTCAGACTCATTGGTTAAAATTCTACTAAATGTCTTTTCAAACTGTTAGATGGATCTAAAAGCACAATCGCTCTTTTGTCGCCGGACTACGTCAAATCCAAAGTATGTTATGAAGAATTCAGCCTGTCACATGCCTTGTTCGTGGATAAAGACAGAACCATGGATCTTGTGAGTGTATTGGTGGAGCCTATAGATGAACTGCCTCTCTGGTGTGCGGAGCCTCTTCCTGTTGACTGCGCTTCGTCGCAAGTGGACATGGATCAGGTGTTAGCCACAGTCTGTACTGATTTGGTTAAGAGACTGAAGGGTAAGATGCCTTTTTTTATCGATATACCTTAACTGCTCGAATTAGCGCGTCGCCCAAATCCAAATGTACGCCCGCTTCGAATTAGCGTCCCTCCCCCCTTAGGCTAAAAATATTAAATAGGTGCCTCTCACCCCACCCCTGCTTACTGAAGAAATGGTTTACAAAAATATTTACAGGGAATCTACAATAGCATATCATTTAATCACTAGGGAGTGACCTTGCTTAGTCACTGTACCGCGTCTTCCCAGGGCTTCGCGGTCAATGCATTTTGGTGACGTAACCGAGACGCCGCGGGCAATAATGAGCAACCTCGTCCCTAACCCTCCCATTTTTGTAGGGAAAAGCCCTGGGGACTAGGTAAGGAGTGACCCATTTGACCCATTTCTTGAAAATGCGGCTCCTTGGAGATTAGCTTTGGAAGTTAAGTAGAAGGTCGCGCGAAAACTTAAAAGTCGTACGTAAAATTTGCGTTCACACGCACGTAAAAAATTAGGCTTAACGGCAAATCCACCCCGCGGAAAGCCAATATTTTTCCCATAAAGTTATCAAGAGGAGTTGTTCGTTAAGAAATACCTATACAAAAATATCAAATGCAGTCACTTAGTCTCGTTTAGGGGTCAAATGAAACCTGCGTTAGGTCGAGATTTGTCTCCTTTGGGTTTAGATTCTAATTTTCCGACAAACAAAAAGTTCCCCCGTTCCGGAGGGACACTAAATGCCGGTCCCAGGGGTATCCGTCTTAAATAAAATAAGAGTGGGGGAATAACTACAGTCTTGCTTTCTTTCTATTTAGGCACCAGTAGTCACTCAGCAGATGACATCCTCGACCAGCGTTTAAATCGCCTTAAGAAGAGCAACGTTACGATTGAAGCAGTCATGGATGACTACAGAAAAGCCAACTTTGTGTTCCGCTCAGGTGTTCTGAAAACTCCCATAGGTTTAAGCAGCGAAAGCAGCAAGGAACCCCTTAGAATGAGCCATGCTGCTAGTGATGTGATGTCCGTTGATGCCCATCAGACTGTCGCATCCCCTGAGTCAACAGAGGTGACGTCATCACATTCCACACCATCACAAGTGACGCCACAGGGCAATACCGCTTGTGATATTGCCCTGAGTTTTGCCGACTCAGATAAGAAGTGTGCAGTTGTTTTAAAGCAGTTGCTGCTTGAAAAGATACCCTCCTTGAAGATAAGTGAACCAGTTGCAGGGGATTTCTCAAGAGTACAGTCGTTAGATGTGGCGCGTGTTATTGTCCCCCTGCTTTCACCGGCGTTTTTGGTATCGAATGAACTAGTGGAAGAATTAAACATTGCGATTTTCAGGAATCGAAGTTCGTCTCGAAGAATACTCTATCCCATTCAGGTTTCAGCCATACCTCCCAAGCCAGCTTATGTGCACCTGATTCCGTGCGAGTTCTCAAGTTCTGATTTCAAATGGGCGAGCAAGGTCATCGGCGAAAATCCTAGCAATGAGGTTTCAAAAATTGGAGAAATGACGGGAGTCGATGTTGATGAAGTGTTTTGCCTCAAGGCTGCGGCCGATGTGATTGTAGAGCGACTTTCAGAAGAAAATAAACAAGATTTGAAGTCTTTCAATCGAGTTTTGCTGAACGTTCACGAAACAGAGCAAGACTGGAAAAAGGTCCAGCAGGCGCTTTATGAGGAAGATGGACTCGAAGCGTTCAAAAGAACTTTTGGAGTTGAAATAAAAAGATGGCAGGATGAGTTGAAGCCGGCCAATATAGCTGAGGAGAAGACGGATGATGACCATGCCAAAAGAACTTTTGGGACTGAAATAAAGAGCGGGCAAAACGAATTGAAGCCGGCGAAAATAGCTGAAGAGAAGACGGACGATGACCTTGCCAAAATTGATTCTGCAGACGCTCACGGAAGTCAGGAACCGAATAAAGTGGAAAAGAATGTTCACTTTGAAGATGAGAATGAAGCTCTAAAAAGAGAAAGCAATAATCCTGATGATGACGCTTCAAACGTTACAAGCCGAAAACAAGATTCTAAAGCTTGTTCCGTCCTTTAAACCACCTATTTGGCTAACCCCCGAGATGGGTATTCTAAAGAGCCACAATGGCCCCATCTTGAATCTTGGTATTCTCACCAGTTTACGATGAATTTAATTTGTGCCGCGAAGGGCCCCGCGAAGGTTCAAACCTTGCCTAGTCCCTAGGCCTCATTATTCCGCGCGGCCAAAGCGTTTCGGGTCACGTGAAGTAGAAAAAATTCATAAAAATCTTGACCCAGTTTGAAGGGAATGTCACTGAAAATCGATATCATTTTAAGGTCCAAGTACGAGAATGTAAAATTTGCACGCATGAAAGAACTGACATAAATTTTGTAAATCCAATTCGTTTTTAAAGTAGTGCCGGATCACACTTCAACGACTTCAAAGAAGCCTGCGTAATTGACAATAAACGAAAACGACCCAGCCGTCTCCAAAGGGTTAAAATTCTAGGCTGGATTTCTTGGTAGCACACGCGAGGAGCGTTGCATTTTTATTCGTTCCATTCTAACTGGCCAATGCCACCGCACTGAATATAGCACTGGAGCAGTAATTGCATCTTTGTTAAAATGTTGTAAACGTACTAAATGTTTTATCTGCCTTGTGTAGGCTCCTGCGTTGTATACAAAAAATAATACATGATCATTCGTTTATACTGATTTTAAACCCAAATCCGATTATAGGAGAAAATAAAGAACGATTGCAGGCTCACTTTTTTTTCCACTCCATCATTTGAAAGGCGGCAATAGACGAAAAACTGTCTGCATTCTCTCAAGAAATGTGGACGATATAAGCAAAACCGTAGACAAGAAAGTACAGAAGTAAATAGTTTATTTATACGCGTAACACCTAGGAGTTAATAAAAACTCGTTCGAGCGTGAACAAAGTAAAAACCTTAGTAAAAACTTTAACTCCGTAAGACCTAATATCTATTACATAAGAATATATCATATATAAAAAACTATTTAAAAAGAGCTAAAACTGTACATGAACAGTCAGAAAAAGGTCACAAACTACGATAGCAAAGAATAAAATAGATTAGAAAAAAGTGCTGATAAAATAACCTAATAACATATGCAAGACAGAAACTAGTATAAAGATTCTAAATTGAACTTTGAAGAGCCGTTTAAAACACTTAAAGATTATCGGAGTTTTTAATATATAAAGATAGCCTATTCCACAGCTTGCCATTGTGGCTGTAAATGAAAAAGATTTATGCATCCGCTCGGTGTTAAAATGAGGCTGTACTAAGTTACTTCCCTTACCCCTTTCGATTATAACATACATCCCTTCAATTTAGAAAATCGGCAATGTACTTTGGACCTTTTGAGTTAAGACATATGCGAATCAGAGCTTGGTAAGAACGATGGTGTTTCAAAGTATTCACGCCCATGAGATTCAGTAAGCTTTCGTAGCTTTCATTCTTAGTCCTCCAAATAGAGTTCTTAAGATAGAATAGTTGGCATCTTCGAGTCTGTCGCTTTGCACCTACCTAGACCAACAAAAACTGTATTACAATATTCTAAATGTGGAACTCAGTAGGAACGTTCAGCGAACGTTTGATATAAGAGAATCATAGTATTAACGGGTAGAAAGCGAGATATTCGTTTAAGAGCTGAGGTATTGGAGTAAACGGGCTACCCCCACCCAGCCCTGCTGACCTGTTTGTCTCCTGGAATGATTTCAGAAGGAGTTGAGAGACTCTTTTGTCTTTTTGATCGGGGCTTAAATTACGCTGTCTCATGCTTTTATAGCCTGGTACGGGGAACAAAACAGTAACTGTTGCTAAATTTAGAAGTCTGTAACGCCAGGGGACTTGTCCCAAGAACCCATAAAACCGAAGCAAAGATAGCTGAATGGCTACATCGTATAAAGACAGTTTTTGCTTTGCTTTTTCCAACAAAAATTAGCCACTTCTACGGGGAAACACCAGCTAAAACGCGTTCGTGACATGAAAAAATTAAATGACGTTCGCATCACAAGACATGTTTTCAAACCATGACCCCTGCTTACCCCCAACCCCGCCCCCATTTACACCCCATCACTGAAAACAAAATGGCGTCTGTCTCCCGAGCGATAGTAAGTTACATTTTCAGAGTTCGCCAATGTACTAGTATCTCCAAGTGAATTTCAAGTGTTTCTTCTTTTGCTGGTAGATCTCGGCATTCATTTGTACCGGGCATGAAAATTGCATAACAAGGCCGGGGTAGAAACTGACCAATCACAATCGATGTTTACCTCTGCGGCTCCGAGACACTGCTGACCGAAGTTACGTCATAGCAATCACATTTGATTGAAATTACTCCTCAAAGTATTTCGCGATTTCATCCTGCGTCTAGGAAGGTGTAGAGTACAGCTGTTCGATGATCTTTCCCAGCCAAAAATTATGGAATGGGAAGCTGAAGCGGAAATGAAGAAAGGAAACTTCCCCAAAGCCCGCGAAATGTTTGAAAGCCTGCTTGGAAAACGGAGTTGCAAGTCGAAGGAAAAATCTTACCTGCTGGGGAAAGCGGATACTTTGGCGTTGGAAGGACGATTATCTGATGCCTTACCCGTTTATTGTGAAGCTTTTAAAAGAGGGACAATTCAACCAGATCGGTTGCTCCGCTTTATAACAGGACTCATTAAGGTCATAACGATAGAAAATAATAGTTCTTTCGATAACGAGGACACCACCATTTTACAATGTGGCATTTGTACAGGAGTTCTTTACGAACCCGTCACCGTTTCGTGCGGTCACTCATTCTGTAAATTGTGCTTAGAAAAGCAAGAAGCGAAAAAATGCAGTCACTGCGAAAAACCATTCTCTAGTGGTGCTTTTAGGATAAATGTTATCTTGCAAGACATACTCGAGAAGTCGTTCCAGGGAGTATTGGAAGCCACTCGCTTGAGGTTCGAAGGAAACCAACTGCATAAAAGAAAACAAAGTCTGCAAGCGATCGACAAATACAAAGAAGCAGAAAAATTGAGTAAGTATCTCCGAGTTTTGATTTGTGCCGATGTGTACCAGTGCATGAACCCAGAATTTCATGCTGTTGTTCTTCGTTGCCGTCGATGGCAGAGTTCATAGTTACGTAACTACAAGAGTACACAGATCTCATTTTAAGAATACTTTAACAATCTATTGTAGTATTCCAGTAGACACAGAGGTACTGTTCCACCGTTCCTATGTGTGAAGACGAGGAATACAGACAATTTTCGTTTTTTTTTTCACCCAGGATGCTGAAAACGAGAGCCGGCTGATCAAGTTTCGAATAAAATTATTACGCGCGATATTTTTAAAATTTCTTCGGCTACACCAGACTGTGATCTCCAGCGATGACCTTTGTTGAACATTTGAGCTTTTTAAATTTTTGAAGGTTGTTGGGGTTCATTGTTATAAAAAGTGAACCTGGCTTTCTGAGTTCAAGACTGATAAATTCTGTGATGTTCTTGTCTGACTCTGAAGGTTACGTAATATCGAAGTTGTTCATATCATGTTTCGACCCTTAAATTTATTTCCGCAATTAAAGGGTCATAGTTCTGCTGGCTTTTTCCCCCCAGGCATCCTATTTTTTCATTATTATTAATCATTCACTCCTCGACCGTGAGTAGAATAAAATTAACATGGGAATATAGAACAGCTAGCTTAATTATGTCCTCAGGCTGCTAATAATTTGTATAGCCTAATTAATAAGAAGTTATGCTTCTCGGAAATAGTTGCAGTGCCTTGGGGAAAGCTGTTTTAAAAAAAAACAGTGTTAGCATAACACTGTTATTCCTGCGGTCACAGATGCTATTCTAGAGAATAGTTCCTTTCAAATTTCACCCACAAATGCATTTACTTCTTGTTCGCCACGGGAATTGAACAAACAAAATGAGGCACAATATTAAAGTCTCTCAGAGAGTAAACACCCAGCTGTACAGTAAATTCTGTCTGCCAAAAATATTTTGCTATCATCTCAGGGATCAAAGCTGTGGCATCTAAAGTTTCAGCTATAACTACATGCATGTACATGTATTGTTAACCCTGATGTGAACCAAACTGCTGCTCAAATTTTAACGTAAAAATCTGATCCGGGTGATGGCTAAATGGTTTGTTTGAGCTCTATTTGTTGTTGAAAGAACAATTAATGAATTGATTTAGCTAAAAGTGGTCTTACTTTTAGGGCCATCCTAAACCAGTTATCTCTTTGAACCTTAATAGTGACTGGTATCAAATTTCTCCAAACAATATCACTGCCAGATCAAATATACAGGGAAAGAGAGTGAGTGGAATGATCAGTACTGATGAAATGTCTTGATGATTGAACTAATTCTCTCAAACAGTCCATTAAGGAAACATATGGAGAGCAGTGAGGAGAATATACATGTTAATATCAGTGCTTAAAGGGTTATAAATATTCTTGAAAGGAATGTAAAGAACTGTAGGAGAATTTTGAGCTGTTTATCTAAGGTGCTGATCTGTGGCAGCCAGTTTGGCAACAAATTCGTAGTCAGCATGGATACCAAAGGGCCTTACACTGAGACTTTTAGTAATAAAAAGGTTGTAGAATGTCAGGAAAAAAAACATCAAAATATTGAAGTCAAACACAAAAAATTAATGTTTTGTTCCAGTTAAAGGGTTAATCTCGTATAGGGGGTAGGGCAGGAAAGTGTCTCAGAGACCAAGAAGCTAAAGTTTGCTGTTTCTCGCAGATAAATCAGACCATCTTATTCAAAGTAACCTTGCCTGTGTTTTGCTCTCCTTGGGGAATTTTGAAGAAGCCCTTGCTAGAGCCAGCAAGACTTGTGAACTCCAACCTGCTTGGCCAAAGGTGGGAATTAAACTTATTCTTGACATAATAATGGTGTACAGACACAGCTGCCAATAGCCAATCAGACTGGATAGTGTTGTTGTTAATATATAGATTTAGGCGGAGCTCAAAGCAAAGCACCCATTGATGTATTAAGAATTTACGTCAGACGATAAAGTTGGTCAATGTTAGAACCAGTGCAAAGAAATCCACAAATCTATACTTGACTTTTGGGGAGGACCATATGACTTTTGAGGACAAGCTGAACCGGCAATCAATTAAAAGCAAATATCTGGTCAGCAGAAAACCTCAAAAAAATACTTGATGAATTGGCTCCTAAGCCAACAATACAGGCCTGTGATTCTGGTCAGTGGATACCCTGTTTTGACAGCTGTCAATTTACCAAAATATGAATGTCTATTATCAAGTTACACACAAGTTACAGGCTCCCATAATAGCTGGAAATGTGACATTTCACACTGGTTTCCTGGTGGTGCAGACGGACAGGGAGGTAGACAGACTTACATTGTACAGTCATGTGACTACCAAAATTTCTTGAATGCATAGATAACGAAATTTCTTACCTATGGTGCTTTGAGCATGCGAGAGCTCCACTATTATCATAATTGACTCCTTGATCCTTGACCTATTTGTTGGCTAGGGATATTACAGGAAAGGCTGTGCCTTGGTGGGTCTTAACAAAAAGACAGAAGCAGCTGTTGCATTCTTGCACTGCCTTGCAAGAGATCCAGGCAACAAAGGAGTAGAAAAATCACTGGCCAAGGTAGGAACATTTTTTTATCTTGAATATCTATTGTATACTGTAAAATGTCAAGTGTTTTTCCAGAAGATATGCATGCTCCCTTCTCCACCCCCCTCACAATCACTACCATTGAGAATTTTCTCTACCCCTCTGGAAATCCCACTTTAGTCTGATCTCTTCCACAAACCTATGTGTTTGGTGTGTTCTTCTGGAGAGACTCACTCTGTTGATAATTAGTGATCACTTCATAAAAGAGACCCCAAAATTGCAGCATTTTTGTACTGGTGGCAGGTCACTTGAAGAAGATCCAATGGTGTATTTATAATAATATGGTACCAACTCTATAAGTTAAGAACATTTTCAGTGTTCTTACCATAGAATATTTTCTGTTACTTATGTAGCTTATACATGAGCTAATCATGGAAGCTATTCCCCGTTCCAGTTCAAAAGGGGACCATCATGGCCACGGTGCAAGTGACGACACAGATCCAATTCTTCACAGATTAAAAAGTCTTCTTAATCATGTAGAGCAAAGTAAAATGGGCCTTACTGTGCATGGAGGTAAGACCTTACATTGGTGGATAACGAGAATTATAATAATAAATAACTAATTAAAGGCACCCCAACAATATTTTGTTAAAATAATAAGCAAACACCAACGCTTAGATAAGCGCCCAACCACCATAAATCAAACAGCCCCCGTTCTTAAATGTGCCCCATCCCCTCCTTGTCACTTTTTTGAAATAATATGGATACAAGACAAATGCAATGATATGCATGTGATGATGATGATGATGATGATGATCTCAAGGATGATGAGAAATCACAATTTTTTACAAACATACATACTGGTACATTAGTGGATAACATGTATAGAAGAACTAAGCTACGCTTGATTACCAGTCACTGTTTAAATGAACGCAGAATATTGACTTTACATTTAGGTTGGTAATGTTCTCTTTTGTTTTCTATTTTAAAAAATAATTGCTAAAATAAAATTACAGGTCATTGAAAGAAAAACTTAATAAGCAACCCTTGATTAAATGCTTTCCTATCAATAAGTGCCCCTCCTTTTCGCTGAAATTTTGCTTATTCGAGGTAATATGGTAACTACAAACCCCTATGGCTATTATAACCTTTCAGAAGCTAATGATAGCTGTGAAGATGAACCTGATATCAAGAAATTAAGACTTGGCAAGCAATGTTCTGTGGACGATCTAGAATGTACACTGTGCTGTAGGTAAGGATACAAGTGAACATCACAATAAGCAATAATTATTGGATAAGGTTTTGGTGATATCTGAAATAATCAAGGTCAAGGTAAGTGTTATCAGCCAAGTAGAAGCTGCCTGAGGCTGATTACTTTAAACTGAGACTGATCATTATCTTGCAAGAACCCGAATCTATTGTGGTAATAAATTATTGTTTTATCATACAGTGTTCTGAAGAAAAAAAATGACAAACACACCATTTCACGGAACAGAGTTTGAAATTGCTCTTGCACAAGCTACAGATTAGTCACTAAACTGCTAGCAGATGACTAAACTTATTTGTACATGTATGTTGCTGCGGTTTCAAAAATTAACTGTAGATGCTCAGCCAATGAGAAGGCAGATAGTATTTTATAATAGTACAATGTATAATACTAATAATCGGTGTGCAAGAAAAAATTTTTACAAGAAAGATTAATAGTTACTGGTAATTACTATTTTATTGAAAATTTATTTCACCATTAGTTAATTAATCACTTGCCTTAGTAATTCATTTCAGAGAACTGACATCCCTTACAACAAGAAACAATGAGAAACAGCTGTTTTAGCAGTGTAGTTACAGTGTACATGAAAGAAAATGACAAAAACGTTTTTTCCTTTAGGTTATTTTATGAGCCAGTCACCACACCATGCGGCCATGTTTTTTGTCGTTGCTGCCTAAACTGCAATCTTGATCATAGACCAACGTGCCCAATCTGCAGATACTCTTTAAGCAAGGTAAAGTTACATCCTTCAAATGCCAAGTACAACCTTGTCACTCAAAATATTTTGGTTCAATCTTTCCTTTTTCCCATAGTTAATTCCTCTCTTTCTTAATTTCAGTTCCTTGCTGAAAGAAACCAGGTAACTATTTTCACTGTTATTTTAAAAAAAATATATCAAAATTAATGATTATTGCCTATTAGCTAGGGAGCTTAAGCAACAACGACAGCAACGGCCACTAAAACGCAACTTAAAAAGTGAATAAGCCCTGCTTCAAACTTTATAATGCTTATTCCATCTCACTGAATTCTTTAAATGTTAATTGGCAATCTTCTGCTAGAGTTGAATTCTAAAAGACTGTATCAAAGTTCAGGAGAAGAAAAGGAAAGTCATTATCTTGGGTTCACATCCTCAACAAAACATGAAATTAGGTATTTCACGTCATAGTAGTACAAAAAAGTGCGATACACGTGCAGAGTTACCATTTTGCCAATCAAAACCTATTGCTTTTTTGCCCTTTTCATTGACTTTGCCAACATCATTGCTTATTATAAGCTCCCTACTAAGGAGAATATTAGTATGACACTAGCGATAGCTCAATTGTCTTCAGAACATCACAGCAGCTGTGAGCAGGCTCATTGAATCTGCTTTGCCTGAGGAACATGAAGAAAGAAAAAAACTACATGAGGAAGAAATGGAGAAGTTAGCAAGGTGTGGATCGAACTATTAATATCCAGATAGACTAGGTTTTTAAGTTTTGTTAGTGGCTAAGAAAGCAGTCAAGTCAAGTCAAGTCAATTTAAGTCAAGAAGAAGTCACAAATACAAAACAAAATAAAAATGTACCAAGAAAATTAAAGCAAAATGGAACTTAAAAGCAAAAAAATGATGATTTGACTATTTCTTCAGTGAGTTTGTAGGAACAGATTCTTGCATATAAACATTTATACTAATATAATTGAAAATCAACACATTTGACTACAGCGTGCAAAGAAAGTAGTGTCCGATAGCCCGGGGCTAGTGGATTTTTCTATTGGGCTAGTGAATTCTGTTATTAACTTGCCCGATGGGCAAGTGATGTTTTTTGATGAATTTGAATAACAGAAGAACTGTGAAATCAATTCTGCTCATCAAAAAGCTTTCGGGGCTGGTTAAAATGACGTCTGGGCTAGTAAGTGCTAGCCTCAGCTTGCCCGAATGACAAGCTGTAAAAATGATTTTCTTTGCACCCTGGGGTGCTTACCATTTCACAGAAAAATCCGGTTGGGGTGTCGAAAGCATAATGGTAAGCGATTTACCAGTTTACCGTAGAAATGCCACATCCGTTACGGTTTGAATCCAAAAAAAGGGCGAATTTGTGTAGCGTGAGTCTGGAACCGAGAAATTGGTTAATGGTAAGCAGCATTCCGTTTGGTTCGTATCAACCGGAATGAAAGGACTACCTCAAAAGGTACTCCTCAATTTTCGGTTGGAATTTCCGAAAAGTGACCTTACCATTTGCCTTCCATCCGGAATTTCCGAAATTTTCTGTCAAATGGTAAGCACCCCTGGACTATGATTTTATCTAAAATTTGTGAATGTCGTGCTATTTCACCGAGCATTTTTAAATCACAACTGGCAACTTATAATAACTTTTAAAGTTTCAATTAGCTAGGGTAGATGCAATTCTTTCTATAAAAAAAAATAAGGAACAGCTCTACAATGTATCTGTTAGTACCAAATTTGTTCCTCCAAATTTCAATACAAAAAAGCTCAGAGAACTTTTCTCGCTGGGTCATGTCTGGCGATAATAATGTTAAATTTAACAAGTAGTCAAGAGCACACAAAATTCATGCTTCAAGAGATTTTGTATGTTGACTCTTGACTCCTGTTACTTTCAGTGTGGCAAGGGACACCACAGAAGATGTGCCCATCTTTGTTTGTACTTTGGCCTTTCCATCACAACCCTGTCCTCTGCACATCTTTGAACCTCGTTACCGTCTTATGGTCAGACAGTGTATGGAGTCCGGATCCAAGCAGTTTGGAATGTGTGTGCATGATGAGGATAAGGGGTGAGACCACGCCCTTGTGCAGGGCCAAATACAGTTAAAGCTCCTCTTCTGACCCCTTCTGTAAGCGACCAGCTCTAGTTGGGACCACCTTTATGAAACCCTGTTTGAACTGTTTTAAGCTCTCACAAAGCAACCACTCAGACCCAATAAAACAGGAACTGACGTAGATCAACTCATTCTTACACTGATATTTAGATGCGGAGTTATTTTGGTCTAAAAAATTGGACGTAAATTTTAGCTGTGGCTATATCAGATAAAACATTAAATTTATTTTGTTGTTTCTTTCTGAATTCTTAGTGAGTTTCTGAAACTCTTGTAAGTGACTACCCTCTATTGTTTTACTGTGCGCTCGCTTTCAAGACCTCATTCTCGTATGTGACCAGCTTTAGTCACAACCACTTTTTCGATTTCCGAGGTGGTCGCTTACAAGAGCTTCAACTGTAGTTCATTTTAGGTAAGACTGACTGGAGTAGAATATTATTCAGTTTTCAGTTTTTTATTATTCATGCAAGAAATTTTGAATCGGGCGAGTGTGTAAATGTAGTTTGAGACTGATTTGAAGGTATGAGCCAGACTTTATGTGATATTTGCAGAGTGATAGTCATAAATAATGAAGAAAATCCTGCTGAAATTATAATTAATTTTCCAGATGTTACAAAAACTGAACCTAATAAACCTGTCTTAGCATCCTCTGTTTTAAGGGCAATAAACAAGTTCACTCTCACAGGAAACATTTTCTGCTAACAGACAAGTGAAAAATAAGTCGAGCACACTGATTTTCAGAATTCATTGTAAGAGAGTGGGAAAAATGTTTAACTATATTAAACTATTGTTATATTTACTTTTGAAACTAAAGTTTTGTTGCCTTTCAGTTTTGTAGATTATGGTGTCATGTTAGAGATTAATGACCTGCAGTACCTTCCAGATGGAAGATCTTTTCTTGACTGTGTTGGTGGAAGGCGTTTTAAGGTGATTACTAGTATTAAATTTGGTCAACACTGTGTGTATAGTGGATTATTAGGAAAAATAGCTGATTGGAGCCAAACTGTTATCGACAAGTCAGGTAACTCTCTCTTAACAGACACCTTTGCAAGATAGGCATCTCACCGACATGGACACCTCAAGTTGGTTCCTGCCGTTCTTTACTCGTTTTAGTTGACCTTCAGTATTAAGACAGACAACTCCTACACACTTCAGTAAAACAGACACCTAAAGTTAATCCCTGCCTTTTTTTATTTGTTTTCATGGAATCTCTGCAAAATGGACACCTACATTTAGAGTTGGCCCCTTTATATTCCCTTTCTTTATTCCTTTTAGTCAGACATCTCTGTAAGACGGACATACTCATTCATCTTAGAAAGAGGTGTCTGTATTTTGAGTAAAAAGTAAATTGTTTTTTATTCCTACTAGTGCTTTGACTGTCTTACTAAAACAGAAATGTCTGAAGTGAATGATCTTATCATGAACAGTTTTTAATGACTGCCTGACTGACAAATCACCTGTACTTACTTGCAGGTCATTGAGAGAGGAATGCAGAATGGCTACCACACTGCTAAAGTTGAGTGGATCAAAGATGAACCAATTCCACCAGAAGAACTGGGTAATATGCTGTTTTCATTGATTTCAGATATCATTGGCAACAACTACATTCATCGTAGATATTCATTGGCAACAACTATCAACAGTAATAATAATTATTATAATAATACTGGAATTTCAGTCGGAAGAGGATAGGCTTGACCTGGTTTAACTAAAAGTTTACAGTCATTTCCTATGCCAGTAACTTTCCTCACTGGTTCTTTGTCAAGACATTAAGATTAACTTGGTGAAATGTTGAAAATTTAACCTGTTTACTAGAATATTTTTTCAGTGTGGATTTAAATAATCATTTCACAGTAAACAAACTGAATGTTGTCTGTTTGTTTGTTTGTTTTTTGTTGTTTTTAGATGAGATCAAGGCCCTCCATGAAAGAGTTTACAATGATGCAAAAAACTGGTTTGCAAATTTACCACTTCTTTCACGGGTGAGTTTAGAGTTTGCACAAACTTACTGCATGGCTTATTTTAATATCTACATTTGAAATAAAATTTTTCAGCATTAGCAGCATTAAGTTTTAAAGTTTTAATTACCTGTACCTAGATGTAGATTACACAATGGTATATGCAGTGCTGTGTATTAAAAATTTTCGTAATTTAATTTATCTTTATAATTATGTGTTGTTTTTTTAATGAGGTGATTAAGTTTCCGACATGATATTATATGGGCTGCAATTGAATTTCAGCTTGCATTGCTCAATTTTTGCTTGCCTAGGACCGTTGCTACCTGAGTTTATAATTTATTAGAGGGTTATGTGATTATGAGGCAAGTGCAAGTACGCGAGTGAAGACCTAAGTGAATAGTTACTTGCCTAACAGGAAATGTACTTGTCCCTACATGAGTGAATGGCTTTTAGAATCCTCAACATTTACAAGGCATATTGTGTGATCAGAATTTTTTTGCTGTTGATAATTTCAGAGGCGAATAACAAACATGTTCTCAGAAATGCCAAGCTGCGACACCGAGCTTGACAATCTTCCACAAGGGCCTCAGTGGATATGGTGGCTTTTGTCCATATGTCCTTTACCAGAGCATGTTCAATTACAGTTCCTAGCTATGGCTTGCCTGAAGACCCGTCTTGAGAAATTACAAGAGCTGTTTGCCTCATTCCAAAGATACACTTAAAGGTTATAGGCAGACAAGTTAAGATTGTTTAGACCTGGAATCAGTCAGATAACACCAACTGTCAGATGTACAGTGTAATGGCTGACAACTCACATTAAAAAAGAGTTTGACTTAGAGCAAATAATCAGTTTTGTGCAACTGGCCCTGTCTCCGAAACAAATTAATACTGCAGACAACTTTTGAAAGTATACAAATTTTACTAAATATGTATGATAACTTATTTTTGTAGATTATGATTTATTGCTATAGGCCTATAGGCGAATTTGCCACGATGTGATTAAAAATATTATCACAACCCAGTTTTAAAGCATACTGGAAGACCCATAAGGGGGTCGAGGTATATTATTGTAATTAGACAAACTGAATTCATAAACTTGTTGAATCCTACACCACCTGGTTAGTCATTGAATCAATTAGAACAGGTTTATTATATTTAAGCTAAGCTATAAGCTGCCAATTACTAACAAATTAGGTTAGAATTGCGCACTACCAGTAATCTAAATGGTTAGTGCTGTGTCGATGTAAAATGTCTCAACACAACAACAATATTGTAATGTGATTTTTAATAAAAATAATGAAGAAACACACTGCCTGTCTACATGTTGATTTTCAATTTTTAATTCCCACACTCAGTAACTAACAAGAGAGTTAAGTGTTAAAAAGTGTTATTTTGTTAACTCACTACATGTACATATAGCATAGCTTATTTACATGTGTGCCTATTTCCCACGTTGAGATTTTTAACAAAAATGTTTTATGCTTGGTTTGAAGTATTATAACAGTTATGCAAACCACATTTGATCATTATTAATCTACTGCCTACAATATGAGTAGTTATCTCCAAAATTTCTACATGCACGTTAACCCTAAAAACAAAATTCTCCTTTGTTACCATTTAAGTAGCAATTCATTAAATTCATTGTGTTTGATCATGTCCTTAATCCTCACGACCACTCGGTTCTCTAAAGCATTGATATTACAAAGAGAAATTTGATACTGATCACTCTAAGGGCTTGAAGGATTACAGTCAAGTCAGGTCAATCATACCCTCCAAAATGCCAAATTATTCAAAAGTTGAATCTGTTGTAGATTTCAAATTCATCTCTGCATTCTTGCATGTGTCATGATCTATGAATTCACACGCGAGGCAGTTATGAAATGTCTACCAGCTCAGTTTCCCAGAATTGATGTCAATGTCTTCAAAGCAATTTTATCCAATCAAAGATTTTCAGTCTGACCAAATACAGAGACATTCTTGTAAAATAATCACCGCTCGTTACGCATGCAGGAATGCCGATTTGAATTCAAAACCAGTTACCAAAATGACTAACGGGTTCATTTAATTTATAAATAATCAATTCATTAATAGAATCTTGGGGGGTACGCTGGACCTGCCTTGACTGTAATATTGGTGGTTATCTTCTACAGCAAACGTTACTATCACTATTTTCAGACTAAGCCACCTTGGTACATGCGGTTTTTTTCCTTTGGATATTTCTAAAAAGTAGTAAAAATTTCCCCATGCGTTTTTTCTTTGGACAGTAATTTCTTCAAAATGATAAAAATGTCCCCCATGATACAACACATATAACCATATGAATGAGCATGTATATTATTATAGATGTAAGAAGTGTAAGTGTATGACTCAATGAGGTGTAATGATGTAACTATGCACATGCAATGATGGTCGTGTTTGACAATCGTCTCTCATGTTATAATTAACTTGCCAAAGAAATCACACATTGCGACAGCAAGCAATCTTTCTCACAGTGAAAAGTTGAAATTAATACAATTTATACCAAAAGTGTTCAAAACGTTTCAGTTTTTGCACCAAGCAGCGTTGCATTACCTTCATCATTTTCGGAAATAGCTTTTCATTTAACACCTTATACTATAGACAATACAGTACACCCTGCACTTCAACTCTCTTTTTTGAAGAGAAGTGTCCAGAATTCCAGTAAATGTTCCAAGGGCAGGTAAGATCCTAATTAACACAAAACATCTTAAGATGTGACCTCAAAACCCATAAAATATAATGCTCAAAATATCAGCACCAGACCTGGGCATGAATATAATTATTCAAATTTCTGCTTTCTACTTCATTAACTCAATTTCCGTTCTTATTTCACTTGAAGACAAAGTTTAACAGTAAAATACTAATAACAGTGTCCAGAGTGCATCTTCTAGGAGATAGAAAAACATTTTTTTTGAATGGTACAGATTTATCATTCATTTTCAACACACCAATTCACCACCAAGTACCATTAAAACTAGTACTGCTAAATTCTAAGTTCAGTTTCTCAGTGTATCACTATTCTTCAGCACTGTTGTCAGAAGGACCAAGTTACAGCTGTACTTTTGGGTGAGGGAGCAGGTGAGGCAGTTGTAAGAAAAGTTTCTTATTTTAATAACTGTAAGTTAAATTAGATTTTAAGGGAAGAGGGCAATATGATGATGATGATGATGATGATGATGATGATGTAGCATTTGGTTGAAGCTAGGAGCCAATTCAAGTATTAATAGTTAAATCACTTGCAGTACTAATAGTACCTGCCTAGTCTAAATACGTGGGTTCTATCCGGCCCTGATGTTAGTCCTGAATCTTCAGTATGTTTTTCTTTTCAACTTCTTCCATCTCCTTTAACACATAGGCCACATTGTACCTTAGCTCATGAAATTTGGATAATGGCACCTATAAAAACAAGGATCAGTACACCCGTAATTAAAAGATTTATTTTGACCAGGTGGTACAGTATGACAATAATACTCAGGACTGTAGCTGAGGGGTGGCTGAAAGAGAGCTCACCAAAAGCTGAAATTAGTCTGGAACATGGTACGTACATCTTCAGACACACAAATTTCAAGGACTTTTGGAGGGTTTTTCAAGGACAAATTACAGTTTTCAAGGACTAAGATTTATAGTTTTAATAAATCGGCATTTTTTAACCCCCTTTGATCACCCTATTGGCTGAAATAAGTCATGGAGTCATTCATGATTTTTACTTCTTCGGCCTTCATTGATCACGTTATTTTATACTACTTTCTGCAACAAGACTTTGCAAAATGACTGGGTATGACTTGCAATTGCATCTGAGGTACAGAAATAGCATTTGAAAGAAAGAAACAGAAATACAATATAATATTGTTTATGCACAAAAATATCTAAGTTACCCTATCCATGAGTTTTACAGGTTGTTATACCAAGGATGAGCCAAATTTTCCTTGGCAAAATAATCTAATTTTACAGAAAAAAGTTGCCTGGCATAGACAAGGTTGTGAATTTCAGGGACTTTTCAAGAAGTAATAAAGAAATTAAGTACTTTTCAAGGACCTAAACCAAATTCAAGGACTTTTCAAGATCACTAGTAAAATTCAAGACCTTTCGAAGTTTGTATGAACCATGTGGAAAACAAGAAGGCGGAGCAATTTCAAAGGCATGGTCAAGAAAAAAGCCAGGCTGCTTGACCAATACACTTTAAATAACCCTGCTTAGCTTTTCATTTTTCTACATCCACGAAAAATGCTTGAATTTTCCCTTGGCAGTTAGTTTGTCCCAGATGCCTGAACGGTGGCAACCCGGAAGAAGAGGTCAGACAGTCTACTCTGCTGGTATAGTGACATGGCTAGAGAGGCTAAAACCCCTTTTTTTTCACTCATCTCTTCACTTTGCATTGGTCCCCAGAGAATGATAAGCACTCAAGTACATTGTTGACTTAAATCCTGGTTGTAAGACTGGTAGTTTTTGAATTTGCTGGAATATTGAAGATTACAAGAAAAGCCACAGCTTGAGTTCACCAAGGCTTTTCCTCCAACTGACATGTTAATCTCACCAAGTCAATGCCTTACCTCAAATGTGTGGATTTTTCCATCACTCAGTTTCATTTCCATTAAAACCGAAGGTTCAAGTACTCTACTGAGGGAACTAAAAAACAAAAAAACAATACAAGTTAAGTCCCTCAGTCATGATGGCTAGCAAGCAAAGCCTGAGGTTTTTCTTTCCTTTATATAATGCATTACTTATAACCCAAATAACAAGATCTATATATATTATGACGGCTGCAAGTGGAGCAGAAGATCAGGACAAATGACCTCGCCCACAAAGTTACTATTACCTAAGAAAAATGGTTACGAATTCCAGGAAATAATTATGATCATGTCAAGTGCTCCACTTTCGTGCGAGTTCAACTGGCTACCTGTCAAAGAGCTTTTATATCTGAGAGGCTCAGTTATGGCAGAAGAGTGTTTAAACAACCTCGTTCCTACTTAATTATGTGACAAATTCTGCGAACGTTCAACCATCCATAGCTTAGTAAGCATGATACCCTCAAAATACTACTGAAGTTTAAAACAGCTACTGGTCAGCGAACATTTATTTATAGAGCTGTTAACATCTGGAACAACTTAGATGACAATTAAATTGAAAGCCTAATCCTCAGTCAGAGCTTTTAAAAACTTAATGAAGGACCATTTTCTTTCTCAACAGTAATTTTAGTGTGAAATGCATTATACTTAATTTTTAGTTGTTCATGTAAAATAGCGACTGAAAAGCCCAAAGGGGAGTTACAATATTAAAGTAAGGATATATATTTTTTAAAAGAACTGGTTAGGTTTACTAGGCCTGGAAAAGTTTATCATTATTTAAATTGGTTGATAAGCAATGTGAAAGAATTAATAATATTAATAATAATAGTGCTAAGTGGACACAAATGTATTTGATGAATATTGTTATGCTAATGCTCACCTAGTGGATATAGCTACATCAACTCTCCACCTGAGTGAATCTAAGCTTGGAAGATGGTTTCTATTTTTGAGGGCAGCAGCATCAAATGCTGATCTTCTGTAGAGGCAAAGGATGACAATGAACACCATCACAACTCTCTTCGGAACAAGCTCTCTTTTGCCGGCAACCATTTTACAATGCTGTTATTACCCCAGAAAAAAAGTGCTCATGGAAATTGACTCCATTACATTTAAACATATCATAATTATTTTAAACTCTTGAGTCATTTTTTGTTTCAACTGAAAGGGCCATGCATCCTCATCCAAGCCCAGGTGACACCAATTCCCAGTCAAAGAAACCTTCATGCTCTCAGTTTTTTATTTAAATGTTAATTTACAATCCCTCAAAGGCTGCTCCAAAAAAACATTGAGCACTTGAAAAAAGTGAATGAATAAAATAAACATTCACTGTCTTGATTATTAGTGAAAAACAGCAAAACGCAGCCAACAGTTCTCACAATTTTATGAACAGAAATACTTGCTTTTCTCCAAACACAATGCTTGATAAATCAGGAATTAGTTCTCCAGGGACTCTGCAAAGGACAACAATAATATGACAAAAAGAATCCTGTTAGAATGGCAAATTCAAGGAATATTAAACTGGAAAACTCTGGATGAAATAATGGAAATGATAATTGATACTGACATCAAGGCACATCTGACAAAATGTTTCTCAGTTCTGATAATTTTGGGAGTGACTGAAATCTCTCCTAAATATTAGAATCCTGAAACCACTTCTCAGACCTTTTATCACGAGAGCAGGAATAACTTGCTAGGGGCTTATATATTTTCAAACTCTGTACAAGAGTGTCCACTCAACGTGAATATTCCAAAGACAAAAATCAGTGTCAATTTAGGTCCACTAATATTCATGCGTGCACCTGCATATGAAAAATCTGTCATAGCATCAATAATTTGATAATTATTTTATTTTCTCTAAAAACTGTCAAATTGAAAATTGACATGCAAAACCCAACTTCACCCACCCCACTTCTAACTCCCATAACCACCATTCACAATAATATGCTTACTTGAGCTCTGTGAGGTCTGACTTGAAACGGTCTGGTTTAAGAGAAGTTTGAGGAAGGCGCAGTGCACTACGCAAGAGACAGTACAGTCCAGCATACAAACAAGACAGTGTTTCCTCAGTTACTGCATCCGACTGGAGCTCTTGAAGCAATCCATTATCAGGAACCTTTCCCTCAAAAACTGAGATAATAACTGAAAAGAGGAAAATGAAAGGAAATATCTTCTGACTCTACTTCTGAATTTGTCACTGCAGTTTGTTGCAATGCATGGAAACAAGCATTTTGATTGTTTTATTCTTCCACGTCTGCTTGCAACTCCAGTATGTGGTGGAGAGCAAAAAATGACAATATTATGATAATTTTGATTTTGGCTCTACTGACAACAGTGACTTCTTCATTTTGTCTAGGCTCTTATGGCTACAATGATGAAAAATGTTTAATAAATTAAGGCGGGGAGGCTCAATAAAAAGGCAATGATTGTGACAAGGGCCTTTTTATGCATGATACTCACTACCTGTCTTCTCATTGGCTAAAGGCCTACAGTTACATGTAATTTTGGAAATCAGTGAAACCTACTACAGCGGAGATTCATAATTTTATAAGACAGTTAAAGTGTACTTGTGTCAAAGTAGCACAAAGTTCATTCCTTGCCAAACACTGAGTCCAAACGTTATCGGTTTGACTGGGCGATCTCCGAATGTGTATCGATATTTCTGATCTCTCCTACCTTGCAAAATCTTCCTGAATAAAGCTTTATCGATTGAAGTTAAATGAGGTATCATTCGTTTTATCTCATCTGGAATTCTCGGCCCTACGAATAAGCTATCATCCATCATAGGCAGACCAGAGCTGGCGCGTTCACGCGCCATCTTGTATGTCACTCTCGACCCAGACTTCCCTTGACTTCGTATGTTTTTGGACAGTGGTCAAGACCCAGACAAGTAGCCTGGGACCAAGTGGGTGAAAAAATTATTATATTATTTCTTATTTATTTTTATTTATTTATTTTTTTGCCATTTGGCCCCACTGCCGATCCTGTTTCTAGGCCACAGAGCACGTGTTACAGTGATATGGGTATCCCCAGGAGCCCCCGCGTTTAGGACACCCCTTTGCCCCCATTCCGAACCGAAAACCCATCCCCTTCTCATATCACCTTAGCGATTTGGGTTAAGGTTAGCCTGAGTATCAGGTGTTTCTGGGGGAAAGGCGGAAAGATGGAAGCTTTAGGAGCTGCGACGGCTACGAAAACGTCACTTAAAAGGTACAGTTGCGCTGCTTCAAACTTTATCAAGCTTATTCCATCTCGTTCAGTTCGTCAAATGTTGGCACATTTTCAGTCTGGAGTTGAAATCTAAAAGACTGTATCAAAGTTCAGGAAAAGAAACAGAAAGTCTTTGTCTTCGTTCACGTCCTCGACAAAACATGAAATTAGGCCCTTTACGTTGTACATAGTCGTGCAGCGACGGCAAAGAAACAGAGAAGGTCAGTGAACAAAATAGCGTGATGCACGTGCAAAGTTGTTGTTTTGCCAATCCAACGCTATAGGCTGTTTCATCGTGATTATTTCCATAGAAGATGTAGCCGTATAAATGTTTACCCGAGGTTCAAAAATTCAGAAAGAGCTGGTTGATTTATGGAGTTTGCGCAAGTTTCAGCTTTTTGCAACCAGTAACATAGAAAATAGCAGCAATCAAACTGCAAAATTACTGGGTGGCAAAACCTTTTTGAGCTCATACTTCTTTGTAAATGTTGGAATTTTTCAAAAGCGAATTTCTCCGAAAGTATTTGGTATATCGGGGTCACATTTTCAGAGATAACTGAAACTGTTATGCTCTTTCAATATTCAGAATCAGTCCCCATATACAAAGAGAAATACTGATAAGCTGGAAAGAGTACAGAGAAGGGAGACTAAAATTATCTTAAAAAGTGATGATCCCTATGACATTAGTTTGAAGAAGTTAAACCTCATGTCACTGGAGAAGAGAAGATCACTGGCTGACGTGACTTTCGTACTTAATGGCAACATTGATATTGACATCAATAAAATTATAGATTTCCACTCAGAAGCTGACCGCTTCTCACTTAGGGCTAAGGACTCTTGAACTTTAAACAAGAAATATACCAGAACTAATGCCTTGAAGTATAGTTTTTTCCATAGAATTACTGACCAGTGGAATCAACTACCGTTAAACATTCGTGTTTCTGATAACGTAAATATTTTAAGTCTAGAGTTAGGAAATTTTTCAGTGATTTTTAAGAAGCTTTTATATTTCTGTATTTTCTGAAACTATTATTTTATTGTGTTTCTATATATTTTTACGTGATCTGTTTTTATATGGGGTCTAGGACTCCTTTACAGTTCATCCTTTGGTTTTTAATCCATAGATTGTAATAAATAAACAAATACATAGAAATTTGATTTTATTAGCCTCGTCAGATACAACTGATAAGCCTATGTTAATGAGGCAAAAAATGTAAACAGGGATTCGCCTATTGCCGCTCTTGTTGCCGTCGTCGCTTCTTAAGCTCCCTGATGAGCCCTTCGAAAACCCGTTACGAAGATGTATATCCCGGGGGGTACCCCTGGGAATTCTTGGTGGGGGTTTGCCGCCCGGTTCTCCAAATCCCGACCCTATTTCAGACCAGAAAATTTAATTTTCCACAACCGTTTTCAGACCAGACCTCTAAAATCCATACCCGTTTTCAGACCTGGGCCCAGTTGCTCGAAGCCGATGGTTAGCGTTAACCAGCGTTTAATACCTTGACAACGTATTGGTTTTGATACTGCTTAACCAATAGTTAAAGCTAACCATGCTTTGAGCAACTCAGCCCTAGCCTTTAGGCAGAAATCATGTTATCATTTCTTAGATTAGAGGGCAAACAAAAAAATTCTTCAAATCCATTTCGAATTTGCATATTTCTCTTTCTTTCTTACTCATTTGGAACTGAAACGATAAATACGTTCATTCACTTCCGTAGTTCCCTCAAAAACCATACCCCATTCCAGACCGAAATGGGCGAAGTGTATACCCGTTTGCAGACCAAAACGGCGTAAAACTTACCCGATGGGGCAGCGCATAGCTTACATAAGAGAGTACCCCACCCTCCTCCGGGATGTATATATTGGCCTAAGACTTCTAGGCGGCAGTTTACGATATATTGTCTTTCAGGGCAGGTATGAGCTGTCTTTCAAAATAATGATGCCACCAGTCACATAGTCTTCATTACTCAGCTGGAAAAAAACAAGAGTGTTTCGTAAGTATACGAACCTAAAGGTTAAACATTGGTCTGCTAAAAATCATAACATGTACTAAGCTATGTCTACACAGGATACCGAATAGCTTATAATTGTCGTGTCAACATGAAAAATACTCCTGCCTGGTCTAAACACCTGTTCAAATTGTAAAGAAATCTGTCCGATAGGTGACAATCTATCTCCAAGATTGGTACGGCGTAGCTTCGTTAATCTGAAAACACCGTTCCTCTGGGTGTACAAAAGCCCTAACAGATCTGGTTTTTCGTCGATGCAAGAGCTGTCGCAGGTATAGTGTACAAGACATAGCCTAAACTGTTTAGAAAAGTGAAGCAGCTGTTTCATACATGACAATGAAAGTCGATAACAATTATAGCAAATGTCTAGGGGGTGATCTTATAAACGTTTATATAGGGAGGCTACGCGCCCTAATTAAGTTTCAGACCATTGCATCTGTTATGCGCTGTTTTCAGGCGACTGAAAACATAAATCCAATCAGATAACTTGCGTGACTTTAACTTAACCCTTGGTAATTTGCGAGGACCTCCTAATTCCCCGTTGTTTCCCTTTCTTTTATAACTCCTCCCCTTCCCAAGGCATTTGCAGACAAACACTCAGCCCATAATAATGAATAGCCTCTCCCCCGGGCTTTTTTAGACAAAGAAATGGCACTTCTATTTAAAAAGGCTGCCTTAATTGTTACCACAATATTTGCATATCTATAAAAACTGCTAAATTTGCATTGCAAACAGCAGTTTTATAACTCGTTTGTCGACGGTCTGGGTGCCTGTAACAGACTCCAAAGGACAAACGTAACGAAAGCAATCGCATCCGAGACACTCACGGGTACATTTCTGAGCGCAAGATAATCAAGGTATGATTTATTCACTTTTCTTACCCGAGGCTCAATATATTGACAGTCTACATATCTTGTAAGCGATCATATCATTTACCTCACGGAACGATTGGGAAAACCATCAACCGCACAATAGTTAAGTTAAGTATTTCAATTCCCTTTTTGCCTTTTCTCGATCCTGCCCAGCATCTTGAATCAGCCTTACTGTTTTCAATTATGCAATTAAGCTAATTTAACTTTTGAATCCTCTTCAACGGCAAAGTAAGACACGTTAGATTAATTTAGAGAAGGAAAACTTCTGCGTGGAAGCTTCTAGATCAAAATTTCACAATAGAAGTGTTTTCTTCTTAGTTGGGCACATGAATGCCATTTTTCTCAAGGGACACACCCTCTTCTGAAAAGCTGCATGAACATGGTAAGAAAGGGCTAGCATGGGTATTTTAATCTTTCAGCTCGTTACCGTGCTGTGAAAACCGCCCGATGGAATAAATTAACAGCTCGGTTTTTTCCAAAACGTTTCTGTTGTCACAGCTGTGACAAGTGATAATTAAGATGTCACATACTTATTAAAATTAAGGAAAAACTCAAGTGAAGCCAGGAGATGATTTATATTTTGTAGACATTTCATGAGCTCATCAAACAACGTATAGAAATCAAATCTTTAGTATATGAGGGCAGCTACATATTTGCATATTTAGCATCAAAATCAAAACAACGCTCTTCGCAAGGTACTTCCTGGCAACCTTATGTGTGGGCGTTTTACCTAATGGCTTCTTAGATCTTTGAGAAGAACAGAGCATCGTTGAAAAGGCCATCTGCAAGAAAGTCCAGAGACGGACCATTAGAAAACGTATGGTGGTGGTAGGTGGGGGGGGGGGGACAGGGAGTACAAAAAAGGTACATACCGGGTATTCGGAAGGCAAGGGAAAATTAAATGAGAATAATTCATACACGCTAAGTAACCCTTACTGAGATATTTAGCATTGACCTACAAAAATTCATATAAGAACGGGAACGGGAACGGGAACGTCAGTTGACGACGGCGCGCGCAAATCAAACAACTGGTTTGACCAATGGCAGAGTGGCAAATTGGGCACCGGAAGTCGAGTTTAGTCCTTTCCGCGCGCTTTCCCGTCGTCAAATGACGTTCCCGTTCTGTTGCTACATCAACCTATTGTCCAAGGCGGACGTCAGTAAAACGCCGACTCGGGGTCGGGATCGGAGTTGGAGTCTGTTATACTTTCGTTTCATTTTCTTCTGTTTTCTTCAAACCAAGACATGAAGCAGACGGACAAAACACAACATCAATGGACCTCGACCCCACCCCTGCCCACACCCCTTTCCCTCACCACCCAAAAAATGCAAATTTGGTGTTATGACGTTGAATTAAGGGAGGGGTAGGTACGCAGTTTCCCCAGAATCGTATCCATCCAGGGTTCTCTCCTACCCGTCCCTACGGACCGAGTGAGAGGGACGAAACAACCCTAGCCGAGTTGATCCATCCTTATTTTGCGTGCGAAATAAAGTCATTGCTTGACGTCTTGAGTTTCCATGTTCACTCAAGAAGACTTAAAATAATCGAAAGCCTTTTGGCGGGCGAGGTTTTTTAGCCTATACGGCAGTTTTCGGCGCGTTTGAAACGTAACGGTCCTGTTAACGACCAGTGTGCGCTGGAGTTAACTGAGGCCCCGTCCACACGTATCCGGTTTGGTTGAAAACGGAGACATTTTCCTCCGTTTGAAAACAAATCCGCGTCCACACCTTGCGCTTTTTAATCGTTTTTGCCCGTCCACACGAAAACACTATGGTTACTGCAAACGGAGGTACCATCTTTAATGGGAGCGTGCGCAATTATTGGTAACCAACACCGTGACGTAATAAGTTTTCAAAAAGCTCCGTTTTCATCCACCCGCACTAGCTAGTACAGCCGAAACGGCGTTTTCAAAACTCTCCACTCTGGAAGGCGTTTTTGAAAAGATGAGTTTTCGGTGACCATATTCGTCGAATACATGCGGTCGGTAGACCAAACCGGAGAAAATAAATCTCCGCTTTCACGACAAAAACGGATCACGTGTGAACAGCGCCTGAAACGGCGCGCCTTTAATCCAAAGTTATAGTGCTTAAGGCCATTTTTTACATGTAGTGACCTAATAATTTCCTTCTTTGTTTTTACAGTGACTGAATACAAGTCAGAGAAAAAAGGAAAAAAAACATGAATGTTCTTTGGGCGATTATCTGGTTTCTTGTCCTATGGTTCCTTGCCTGGCCTGTGGGATTCTTCTGCGCCGGTTGGTATGTCTGTTTGTCGCCGTTTGAAGCCTGCATAGAAGCCATAAAGGGAGTCACGGAGTTGCTCATGAAAGGGGTACAACTTCCACTCGAAGTTGCTAAGCATATGGTGGAGGGCAAAACCAGCTGGTAGACAGTGCGTACTGAAACAATGGCACAATTTCCATTTTTTTTTTACAAGGCTCAAACACTGAATAAGGGAATATTTTGTGGTAGACATCGGATTGTTGCGTGACGAATCAAGTTAGCGTTAAAGCTGTGCGCACCTGTTTTTTTGACTCATGTTGTAATTTGATGCAAAGGCGTCTCCCTTTGCCGCCTCTTCCATAATATAGCATGGACCTTACTTAAAAGACGCTATTTTCGCCTGGATTCACAGTTCTCTGTTTGAATTCGTTCAAAATTTAAGTAAGATTATTTTTTGGCTTTTCTATGTGCCTTCTTTTCTTAACATGATGTCATCACGACTTATAATACTTCTTGGAATAAATTTGGTGCATGTGTAATTGTTATGATACATTTATTGTTATTAATTTTGTTATCATCATTAGTTATTATTCTTTATTAAGTTTACAGTTTTACTTTTATTTGATTACTATGATATTATCCGATTTATCTGGTGGGGTTCTCAATTAACATTATAAAAGAATTTATATGCTTATTGCAGAGTCAATCGGGCGGTGAGTTCGTCGTTTTTGTAAAATTAAAATGTTTTCGTGTAAAAGCTAGACTCTCCAGTCTGCTCTACAAGGGTGGGGATATCCTCTCTTAAAATATCTCCTTATCAAACTGATTTTACTGGAACCCAGGGGAGGTACTCCCATAAATTTAAAGATGAGACAAACCTAAAAAATGACACCCTATTCAAGGGAAAAACTACAAATTTAACCGTAACACACTAGTAAACCTTCGTTAAATCGATCTTCTGATACTCTAAGGACTATTCTTATTTTGATGAATGATTTGTTTCTCATTTGGCTAGGCATTTACACGTACGTACTTGAATCTTAACTGATACAATTCAGGCACCCTATTCAATAATAAGGATCACACCAGGAACGCAATCTCAACACCCTATTTAAGAATCGAGACCTTCCAAAACCGTACCAGCGGGCGGCACTTACTTATCTAAACCATATGTGGGAGTAAGGGGAATAAGTGCCACTGAAATGGCTTGCACTTTTACTTGGGATGCGGTTCCTGGGTAAACCAATATCAAAGCCTGAGAAATAAGGAGGGGCTGGGGAGAAAAAGGAGCGTGCGCGTTTCTTTTTCTTATCCACACCATCTTTTACACAGGTGCCCTTTATCACGATTTAATTCGACTGAATCGCCGTTTTTAAACCCAATTGCTTCAAAGACTGAGGAAAGCACTCCTTACTTTAGTAAGAGACTTGCAGTGTTTATTGATGGATCAGCCGGTCAATGCAACAAAAATTTGTCGCTTATTCGAGTATAATATTGTCTGAGCATTTAGGCGTCTTTTACTGCCTCATGCTTCACATCGGAAGGGATTTATGATCTTATAGAGACGTCTGCTTGGCAGGCTACTATAATTACAAATGCGATAAAACCATGCAATGTTTCTATCGTTCGATATCCATTTAAAAATTGTATCTGTCCATAGCAATGGAGGTGCTCATCAAATCGACGAGTAGCTTTTTCCTTTAACCATACGATGCGCGACGCCGAACGGCAAGCTGACCCCCTTCATAAGTAGGGCTGTGATGCTCTTCATTCCATCAATACAGGCTTCAAACGGACATAGGCAAACGTACCAACCAGCGCAGAAGAATCCTATTGGCCAGGCCAAAAATATAAGGACAAGAAACCACGCGATTGCCCATAGGATCTGTTTTCCAGTCATCTTGAGTGAAAAGGTCGAACTACTACTTCTTCTTTTGCAATGAGGTTAACCTCCGGACCAAGCGAGTCAGCAACAGATTTTTTTTTACCTGTTTTACGGAAAAATATGGAAGGAGAAGCTTTAATATAAAGGAAATTCACAACAGCTAACTAAAGGATAAATGCCAGAGGGGAGGGGTTACGTACTCAAAACAGTTTCATACGGGCAGGCTCCGCCCCAGGATCCAACTACTTACCCTTTTATATACCATTTTTGGAAGAAAAATTACCCCCTTTCGTACATCTTCTACTGACAAATCGTTCCCCCATCACATACCTAGTTTAGAGCTTTGCATCCCTAAATGTGCTGTCTTTGAAATGTGAAGTAATCACAAAACCAGAATGTTTTCTCGACTTTTCCACAGCCATACGATACATCTGATAGCCCTGTTGGACCTTTTTTAAAAACCGAAATGACAGATTTCCCTGCCCTTTTAATTACTTCAACTAATCCCTACCCTTTGGGGTACCCCTTTCGAGCGGAGCCTCTCCGTTTATGCCATTATAGGGAGTACCCCGAGTACCCCCTCCCCGGGGCCTAATGTCACCCTGTCACAAGCCTCATTAAAGCCCCAAAAGAGACTCAACTTCCCCGTTCAAGTACATGCGTTCTGATTGGCTAGCTGTGGATATGTTTTAGTCCCTGGTTCCTTCGATGCAATGCGCTCTCATTAGTTTTTATCATATTAGTTTTAACTATTAATCATTATCATAATTTAGTTATCATCATTAATATTAATAACTCTTTCGTCAGGTCATATGAAAATCATCGATAAACAGGTTTTGAACCAAAATAAACGTAAAATTGTCGCTTCACGAAAAAGCTGTTTCTGATCATACTGTTATTGTCTATCCCTGATATTACATGAAAATCTATGAGTTGAGCAGCAAAGTCATTTCTGAGGAAAATTCTCACTGAGGAGCCCTCGGAAAAACATAAATCACGAGTTTAATATTAAAGTTGAGTGATCTTAATGCTAGTCCATATTTTTAAGTTTCCGTTACCTAAGGTAAGAATAAAATAGAAAATTTCACCAACCTTTTTTCTCTCTCCTTGTTTAATTAGAATTTTCACACAAAAATCTGGAACTCGGGTTTTATGCCATGAAAGAAGCGTGATGTGATGTTGCTGAAGCTCGTCTGGGCGAGTTGCGAGTCACGAGTTTATGTTGTCTGTCATCACTGAGCACGTAAATGTTGTCACACAAGTGCTAAAAGTTAGTTTTTGTTTAAAAACGACATGCTAACTTGAAAATTAAAAAAAATCTCGCTGAGTTGTAAAATTTCACATGACTCGAAATGAAAGAAAGGAAAAGAAGTTCATCAATAAAGTATTTCGCTTTATACGTCAATGAAGATATGTAGAAAATTTGCAAAAATATCGGGTTGAGTTTGAGAGAAATTTGGGTAAATTGTACAGGTCTGAAATAGGTACTATTACCGTCAATTCTAGCCTCCCACGCGTGACGAACCCCTAAGATGGAATATTGGCAGTTGTGTAACAAATTGATCATCGCGTGACACATACATTGAGAATTTGAAACCATGGAGTACAAATGTAACCCACTAAAAAATCGAGAAGCCGCCGCTCTGATTTTTTTGTGCTTCCCTTTAAGACCCGTACTACGCGCCCATGAAAAATACTAAAACGTTTTTTAACGGCCTAATCACCATTTTTTCAACAGGGAGTATTCTTTATTCAGCATGAGCAATTGATTTTGCATACTAGTAGGGTAAAACACAATAACGCTGAATAATCAACTTGCGTGTGTGACTGGGCGTTGAAGACAGTCTCTTGAAAGACCTCGAACTGATCTCGCACGACCACCAGGGAAAATTTAAGCTGACAGTAAGAACGTTCTGGGCAACTTCGGAGAGGCAAAATAGACTACCACAAAGCGGATTTCAAGGGCATTTTTACAGTAATAAAAGGACAATAAACAATAAATCACAAATCAGTCAAAATCAGAATAATTTTATTCAAGGCACACGTGTAAAGGGTAGATTTCTACGTAACAATTAAGCAGTGAATATTGAGTCGATGGGTACAATTCTTTACCTAACGAACCGCCACAATTGTGATATAAGCAGTGTCTGACAGCATATAGTACTGAAAGATTCAGTGAAGCAGCACGAATTCAGTTCCAGTTTCGGTTGAACGAACAGGGCTTTTCTAGATCAAACAAAACAACGTGCATCGAAGCATTGATCACATATCGTAGACTAGCTATTGTTTTCCCAACTTTCCCCGTGTTATAAAGTTCAATGACTCCAGCAATATTAAAATGGCCCATGCTACAAAAACAGGATAATGTCATCCAACCAAAGCAGTTATATAAAAGGTCAAAGTGATTCTTGCATCTTTCGTTTACCACCCCTGCTTTCCCTCGACCATATGCTGAGCTACTTCCAAGGGTAATTTCACACCACGCATCAACAGCTCCGTCAGTCCCTTCATGGCATCTACACAGGCTTCGAACGGCGAAAGACAGACGTACCAACCTGCGCAAAAAAATCCGACAGGCCACGCCAGAAACCATAGAACAAGCAACCAGATGATCGCCCACAAAACATTCATCTCTAACGAAAACAATGGAATATTAGATTGAGACGCCTTGTGTGAAGTGTACTTGATTACGCTAATTTCAAGGACTGACTTATCGTGATCCAAACCAAAAGAGAAAATACTTACCGATATCAATCCAATTTCAAACCAACGAGCCCCTGGCGATGCAGCGACGTACCCTTCTTGGGATGGTCATGTGTCGTAAATCGTGAATAGTACGACGAGTACTGGGAACAAAGAAATTTTAAAGTCACGCTCGGTCTTTCAGGGACGATGGCTTCATTCTACTACTACGACCAGAATTATTTTCGTTTTTCCTTTCATATTTAAATTTTGTAATCCCAGTGAGGTTTGAATAACAAAAGCCCTAATTTGCACAAGAAAGCAAAACCCTGAAGGATTCTGCTCGTAGTAGTATAATGATGCCATCATGCAAATGCAGGGGCACCCAACGACAATTTTCGGGAAAATATCTGTTCGGAAGACGATTTGAGATCTAGAATTTTCGGAACATTTGTTGTAAAATTTCTTGCTTGCCTGCTTCTCCTAGGGTTTTTGAACATCTAAAATATGGTATATTTGCCTATTTTTAACCAATTTTTACCCTAAAAAGGCCACCTAGAGTTTTCGGGAGCTTTTTTTCTGGCTGAAATTTTCGAAAAGGTAAGTTTCGATCAATATAATTTTCGGATCACTAGACTTTCAGCTAGGAAATCCGAACAGATGAAAAATTTTTAGGGGATAAAAATATGCCTATATCTACCGTTTAAATACCAAAATACGTTTAACAATGCTATGTTTTAGTGGTTTTGAACTATATTCTCGTTGGGTGCCCCTGCAAATGGCCTATTGTAAAATCTTTGAATCTTGCAAGAACCACCAGCTGAACCACTTGGACAAATGGCAGCGACGTGAAGCCGGATCTTGGGGATCTTGGTGTAGATCAGAACAGCAATTCAAAGTAGACAGACTGCAAATTATCTTAGTTGCTAAAAAATATGTATCTACGTGTCGCAACTGTTCATCAGTAGGATGCCCAAAATGCGTGCAATTCCACAATTGGTTTCGGCTCCATTAAATCCTATACCAATTGCAGAACATTTTAGGAGAGCCAGGGTGGGGGGGGGTACGCTGGGACCCTGGAACACTTAGCCTATACCAGAGCTAGTTCAAGTGAATTTTGCTACCCTGTACTAGACTAAACTCCCCAAATCCCCCTATCCTAGAGTAGCTGTTTTCCAAAAACAACCGAGGTCACAAGCACAGTCCAGCCAAAACAAAAACAGATTTATATACCGCATCCCAGAGTAAACTGCTTGAAAACCATACCCTTCACAGCGGCACATTCGTGTATGGCCCATATATGGCAGTACCCCCTCCGGGAATACAGAATGTACCGACCTTACACTAAATGAAACGCTACCTTTTCTACTAGAAGCTTTTGCCCAGGGTTTTGCCTAACCCCCCGTAATACTGGGGAAATAGGGAACTTAAGCAACGATGATTTCCACGGCAACGAGAACGGCAAAAACCAGTAGGTTTAGATTGGCTTTGCACGTGCATCACACCTAACTACAACGTGAAAGTGCCAAATTTCACGTTTTGTCGCGGACGGGAACACAAACAACATTTTTCTTTTTCTTTTCCTGAACTTTGATACAATCCTTTAGAACTCAACTCCAAAAAGAAATTTGCCAACATTTGACGAATTACATAAGCGCGACAAAGTTTGAGGCAGCGCGAATTCACTTTTTAAGAGACGTTTTCGTAGCCGTCGCCGTCGCATGGGCAAGAAAAGAGTATGCGGCAAAAATTCAGATTCACGTTGATCGCTAGCGTGAGTTTTTGCCATCATGATCATTTGAAAGGGTAATCTTTGCATCGTCTGAAACAAGGAACGTTATTAGCAAAGAACAAAAACAGATCTCAGTCTCAGTACTGAGCAAAAGCTCACAGCCCCTCCTCTTGTTTGTAACGCGAGCTCTGTGAAACAAGAATTGGCGAAGAAATATGAAGGAAAGTTGGTTATCTGATGAGATTCCGTTGTTGTTTGTGCGTTCAGTTCTATTATGCTTAATACCGTTATAGCAGACTACTTTTGCTCTTTTCGAAATTATATTTTAACTTGAAGTTGTATTTTGCAACAGGAAAGCAAAAAAGTACCACGGGAAAGACTAGGTCTGACAAGGGATGGAAAGAGGAGTGAAGGGAAAGAGTAAATGTCCCGCCCATTCACCCTTGTCACGCAGGGGCTAAGCTTTTTTCTTCTTTCCGAGTCCTAATAGCGAAATAACGCAAAAGAAATACCTGGTTAATTAATCACAATGCAACCTGGCGACCAGCGCGGTCTAGGATTAGTTTTTAGCCGCTAGCGGTAGCACATTACCGCTTAGCGAGCGGAAACCTGGATAAGAGATGAAAAATATTGTCAAGACTCTCTCGATCTCTCAGACGGACACGTAAAGAGAGGTGTCCGTCTTATAGAGAGTCAACAAGTAAAGGAAGTAAAGAAAGGCAGGGACCAACTCTAGGTGTCCGTTTTACAGAGATGTCTGTCTTATAGAGGTGTTCGTTAAGAATAAGTCGACTGTATAGCTATAAAAATTAAGTAACAATCCTTTGCTTTAATAGTCAGGGTTCTTTGCGATACTAGTTAAAAACTGAAAATCAAATACCTAAAGGTCGAGATGAATTGCTGGAACATTTCGTTTTCCCATGTCTTGTACCAAAGGTTTCGTCGTCCTAAGTCAAAGAAGTTGCTCGAATCTACTCGTACCTCTTGAGTTTGTTTGTTTATCAGTCCTGTGACTAACAAATTAAATCGGATTTTCCAAATCTATTACCTCGAACATGCACGACTTTTTATTGTTCTTGGGATTTTCGGATAATTTCATAAGCCAAAATACTGCCGTTTTTGTATAGCTTGGCTTTTCTAAATGTTTATTCCAATACTTATGAAGATCTTCCGTTTCCCGTCACCGACCAAGCCCTCCTCCTTAACGACAACGATACGGATTTCTTCCTCTCTTCTGTAAAAATAAATGCAGTTTATTGATCTGACGCTACAATTTTGTGCAAACATGCCATTTTGAAAAAAATGGCTGGGAGCCACGAAAAACCAGTATTTGTTTAATGAAATGCAAACTAACTATGCCCAGTGGAAAATGAAATTTATCGCCCCGTGTGCGGAACTGTGGATACTGGAGTCCGGAAAATTATTGCCTGTCACCCAGAATCCAGGGCTTTGGAATCCGGAATCCAGCGGAAATCGATAATGGCAAACTCATGCGTCCAGTCGTCTTTTTGCGGGACCAAGCAGCGAGGTCTCCTTTACAATTCCCACCAGAGCGGAGTCTAGTAGTCGAGTCTAGGTAATGATTGAAATCTGGAATCCAATTCTTATTGAAAAGGAATCCAGGACGGATCAGAGCCGAGTTTAATAAATCATCTTGTCTTGTCTTGTACCTGAATCGGGTGTGGTTGCGGAATCATGAATCATAGTTACAAAACATGTAAGAATCATGAATCTTTGAATAATGAATAACGAGACTCTGAGAAAAGCTCAACAAAATACACTGATGAGAAAATGGTTAAGTCCAGGTGATCAATAGTCTTCGTGAATCATGAATCTGGAGGAAAAGTCTTGTAGGAATCATGAATCTTGAGGCAAAAACGACACGAAACCTCTCTCGGGTTCAAAGGCAAACTCTTATGAGTACAGCAGCCGCGTGCTTTAATGCTTCCAATGAAAATAGTGCGATACCTTTCAGCGTGCTACAGTGCGACTACTGTAACCAGGGCCACCAAGACAAAGTTGACCAATTGGATTGCGGGAAAATAAAAATACTTTCCGAGAAAGCTGGCCGTAGGCTAGTCAGCAGCTCGTAAAGAGTAGCAGAAACCGGAAAGGGGCTTTGAGAAAGTTTAAGAAAAAACAGTTACTCCAAGCACAAAATTTAAATATTGATGGCAAACGTTTTTCAAGAAAGCAAAATGTTTCAAAAGACAATCACGTTTGTGTATTCGAAACTTTACATATAACACCCAGGAGACATATTTGTTTGACCCAAGCGGTTGTTTCGTCATCCGCAAGCAATTTCTTGGCTACGATTGTCGATAAAATCACGACCCCTCTTTTTTAACCTAACGTTTTCGTTTTTTCCACCGTCATTCACTCTCTTGGGAAACGCGTGCTTTAAAGGTCGCGTCTGCAGGCTGTAGCCCGAGTATCAGGCCTTCCTAAGGGGCTAGGGGGAGAGGAGATTTTAGATGGGGGAGGGGGGAGGGGGAGAAGAGAAAGGAAGGTTTCTCTCCTTCAGCTCTCTCCCTTTTCGCTTCCATCTTTCCCCTTTTCCCCCAGAAACGCCTGATACTCAGGCTAGCAGGTTGTAATTGGTTGATTTCGATCCATGTTGTTAATTGCCATTATGATTGCCAACTTTCCCGGAATGCATTGTTCTTTTTCTGTAATCAACTTTGTCTACGTGGCCTCGGCTACAGAGCGTTTTCATTCACGTGGCCAGCAACTATGCAAATGTATTGGAACAAAAGAAAGTCTTTACATAAGAAAAGAGTTCAACTCCCACAGGATTGGTTTGGGACACCAACATGGCCGCCGTTTTATGACCCTTTTATCGTTTTGGGGCACCGATATGGCCGCCATGACGTCAGGTGAAAACGCCCTATAGTAGTCCAGTATATAGTAGTCGGTCTTTTCGCACTGTAAAAGCGAAGAAAAGGAATCCTATTAAATTTATCTTCAACGCGCTGTTAAGAAAAACTTAAACAGCATGGACTTGCCAACTTTTTTTTATTTGAACTCACGTTCGTCGACCAAAAAAAATACAAATAGCGTAAAAAAGTATTGAAAGCCTGCATGTATGCATGTAAAAATTCTTAAAAAAAGTGTACAAAATTTTATTCAAAAGTCCTTGAACAATAAAGATACTTGCATCGTTGAAACTAACTAATAAGTTTTCTCGTCAAGGTAATATAATCACTTGCTATAAGCATAAAACTTGATTCTTCTAAGCCTAAAATTCAGCGCCAGCGATAACGATTTCTGACTACTCATGTCAGTATTCGCAGTCAGCTTAAAGCGTTAATACACTTCGTAGTTTTTCTCAATTTAATTTCCGGTACGGCAGAAAAAAAAATCAGCGGAAACATCGCGTTAAAGAAAGAAGTTTAGGTGAAGCCTTTCATTTTCTAGTGTGAAAACCAGGAGAGAAAATGTTGCGACTTTAAGAGACGTTTTTGAAACAGCAGCGAAATCTTTCATTCTCGGTAGAGAAGCCGGAACAAATTCCTCAAAAAAATCAGTTCAAAATTTACCATATCTCTGTTGCCATCGACCGCTTAACACTCTTAATATAAACTGAAAAACTTGTTGAGAAAAACTACGACTCTGTACTGTTCTGCATTTCATAATTTTGTTAACACAGTTAACACAACAACACCTTAACTCTTAAGGTACTCTCGTAATTGTCTCATAGAATAGAATAATCACTAATCATCTGTATCACTTTTTTTAAAAATTAAATGACTAATTTCAAGTACTCGAGGAAAACTAGTGCGTTTCTCCCAGGCGGAGACGCAAAACTTATTAAAACTTAAATTTCACCAAAACAAAATACCAAAAAGGAGAAAAGTTAACGCAAGTCAGTTTAAACTGCCTCGTTCGATGTTTCCTCCCTATTTCATTCTTTGACACCCTAGACTCTGTTTCACGGGTGCGGACAAAATAATGGCCACGGAAATGTCGCCGCTCTTTGACTCACTTTGACACGAAAGTCTCTCATCTCTCCAAATATGTCATGAGAGTATTAGGACAACGTTGCCGAAGTCAAAGACCGTTAAAACAGGCTTCTAAGTATGAGGTCAAAACTGAAAATTTATAAAGATCTGTAAACGAGCTAGTTTTTCCTCGAGTACAATGCCCTCGAAAGACGTGCTTAATAAAGATAACAGTAAATAACCTGACGGGATTTTAATTAGTATTTGCAAAAATAAATACGCAAGTTCATCTCAAGAAAATAGCACTGCCTAAATAGGCTACAGATCCATCCATTGTGAACGAAATTTAGTATTAAAGCTGCACGACTTCTTGCGGGGGCTAAGTCTGCAAATGAAAGAAGACAGTCAAGATCGTCAGCTGGCGATGGCAACCAAAACGCCACCATTAAAACGAATTCGCGCTTTTTCAAACTCTTTCAAGACAATTTCGGCCCGCTTGAAAAGTCAAATGCTGGTGAATTTTCCTGGAGTTGAATTCTTAAGGACCATACCGAAGTTTACAAAGAAGGATAAAATCGATTGTTCAAGTCCTCCATCGTGTAGTGATGGCAAAGAAATGTCCTAAAATGCGTGTTGCACTTTGCACGTGCGTGGATGTTGCACGTTGTTTTGATTATTTTTGTTATTGACGTCCCTTTTCGCTCTACGAAATGGGAAAAAACCAACTCTGGCGGGGATACTTTCCATGAGTCACGGCCAAGAAGTTTTGAGGTAACTCTTCGAACGCGAAAATGCAATGATTAACGAAATATTTGTTAACTTACCTCGGTAAAAATTAATAGTAATAGACACAAGTATTGTATGAAGGCACACAAGTAGTGTATGAGGGCTGCGTTGTCTGCAAAGGGAAGACAACCACACGGTTAGTACTGACCACAGCTGCATGAGGTCAATGTGGAGTCCTGAGAGCGCGTTCTGTGCATCCCTCATCTTCTCTGTGCCTAGCTCAACTGTAGGCTCATAGAGCAAGCACACTATAAAAAGAGCTAATTCTTTTGTGTAGCAAGCCGCCATCTTTAATTCTGAACGGAAGCGCGGGGCTGTAAATTGAGGCTGTATAAAGGAGCAAGTGTGATCACCAGGGTACCCTGAAAAGTGTCCCCCCCTCCCCCCTTTGAGTAAGCTGCAATGTATCCACAAATGAAGCAAGTTAATTCTGTGTAGCAGACTACCAGAACATGCGTCAAGAACATGCGTCAAGAAAACCCCGTAACGTGGTCAAATTATACGTGTGTCAAAAGGTAAGAGGAGAGTTAAATTAGACATATTCCGAACAATTTTTCTCCTTGGATAATTACTCTGGTATGAACGCTTTCAGTCACTTCATAGTTTTTGACTCCTTTCCAGTAATGTTTATGGCTGGTCTTTGCCAGTAAAGTAAAGGCCGAATATTTTTATATCTACTAACATACATGGTACCTTGTGAACGTGATCACCAAAAAGGTTTTATTTTGAATGGCCAACTCATAAGATTTCATCAGAGTTAGAAGTGCATTTATGTCACAAACAGAACTATGAGAAAGCAATGCTGAGGAGGTTTCATTTCAATGGTCACACCACCTATTTTGTCGACAGACATAAAAATTTCAATATCCTAAAGGTACTTTATATATATATATCTAATACAAACAGTACCATGTGAAAGTACTGCTGAAAAGATTTCATTTGGTGATACCACAAGACTCAAAAGTCAGAGTTATTAATTTATGAACTTTAATAAGCAGGAGTATATAAAAAAACAGACCTGAACACAGACAGCAGGTAGGCAAGTTTGTGCTGTTGGCACTTGATAGTAGGTTGGTGGTGGAATCTACCCAAAACAAAAAAAAGATGACAACATTTTCATCTGATTTTGCACATTCTCCAGTTGCCCATCATAATAATAACCTGGGATCACTTATTCGTAATGGAAACTAGCTAGGGCAAGCTGACTTTCACTGAGACTTCTGAGACTGTTACCAAGGGGAAAGGAAAATTTAACCCTTTAAGTCCCAATAGTCACAATCGTCAATTTTCTCTTAACAATATCCATATGTTGCCAAGAGAAATGGTTATGAGAATTAATAAAATGATCACTAAACAGAACATGCTTTGATCTGTTTTCAAAGTCTCTCAACTAATTCTTTAAAGTAATGTATGAAGATCACTACGGAGAGTTTATATAAGGATATTGGGGCTTAAAGGGTTAAGGGAGCCCTGTAGTGCCCTGAATCTGCAAAATCAAGGGTGCCCAGCATATACACCGTATTCACAAATGGCGGACACGCGGGAAAAAACTGGGGCCTAGTCATGAAAGCGAGGCGTTGGAGGGTAAACAAAAATTGCAAATGAAGACTTTCAGTGAACTTGCAGAGTGTTTAGCACGGATTCCACCTAAAATAACTTTGTATGGACGTCTTTTTAAATACAATGACGTGGAACGTCTTCTGCTTTTAATGTTTAGTACTGATTTGCTGTTTGCAATCACAAGGGACGCCAGATATCTTCAAGGAAACAGGATGATTTTGTATGTTGCGAAGCCTCAGAAGCTCGACAAGTGGGTGATGGCTGGAGAAAAGCGGCAAACATGTTGGCCCAAACTTCACGCTGAAACCGAATACGAAAGCCAGCTCACTGCAATTCTGTAAAACAGAAGTAAAAACAGATATTGGTGGCAAGAAAAAAAGAAAAAAGCGACGAATAGATGGCCTACTTGTCAACGGAAGAGACCTCCGCCATTACTCAAAATTGGTCAAGTCGAGAGCGGGTGAAAGATTCATTCACGAGACTCATTCATTCATGTCAGTGTCATTTTACACATATCTATGTATGTCTGTATTTACAACTTCCTTTGGATGATATCAATTCCGTCGCTTTGGAGTGAATTGTTAGAGGTACGTTGGCAGAGCTTAGCAAATTCAGTGCAAATCTAAAATCTTTTGATTTCTTTGCATTGCGAAATAAAATAATTTTATCAAAACTATAAGCTCTAGTGTGTGAATCTTATGGCTTGCTATTTTCCTGGTCTCCTTTACGGCATTATCTCAGAGAGCTCTTTGTAAAAAAGTGGTATAGAGCTCACATTTTACTAGGTTAAACTTTTAAGGCAATGTTTGTGTCAGGACTGAACACGGCAAGCTTCTGTTTCGAATCATTAAATGCGAGTCTGGATCCGTTTAAGAAGACCATCATTTTTCTTATTTATGTATTCTTCACTTTTAAAACATTATGGAACATGAAGTTAAAACTCATAACAGCCAAAGATAAGAAATAGGAAAATTACTCGCTGAAATGAAATGTGGCCGGCTTACCGAGTCTGCCGAGTGACAAGTCGAAATTTTGAGCGTACTTCACTCGATCGCTCCTGCATTTATACCAAAAAGATAGTTCTAATTGATGTCCTTCATCGATAAAGACCAGAGAATAGCGTCCTGGCAAATAAACACCAAATATAACTTCATCGAAACCTCAGTCACCGCTTCTTTCCTGTCTTCCTTTTTTCCATCTCGATTTGAACTGTTTTGTTCAATGACACACGTCTCTTGCGTTAACAAGTAGGCCATATATCCATCGCTTATTTCTTTTTTTCTTGCCCCCAAGATTTGCATTGTTTATATTTCTGTTTTACCGAATTGCAGTGAGCTGGCTTTCGAACTCGGTTTCAATGTGAAGTTTGGGCCAACATGTTTGCCGCTTTTCTCCAGCCATCGCCCACTTGTCTAGCTTCTGATGCTTCGGTAACCTACAAAATCATCTCATTTCCTTGAAGATATACGCGTCCCTTTTGATTGCAAACAGCAAATCAATACTAAACATTAAAAGCAGAAGACATCCCACGTAATTGTATTTTAAAAGAAGTCCGTACAAAGTTATTTTAGGTGGAATCCGTGCTAAACACTCTGCAAGTTCACTGAAAGTCTTCATTTGCAGTTTTTATTTACCCTCCAACGCCTCGCTTTCATGACTAGGCACCAGTTTTTTCCCGCGTGTCCGCCATTTGTGAATACGGTGTATGATTTCAGGGTTCTCAATAGATTTTTAAGTAGGAGGTGATCACTGATAAAGTAGGAGGCTCTTCAGCAAAGCCAGAGGTGTCAAAACAAAGCAAAGAAAAGCGACTTAAACACAAAGTAAGCGGCTATAAATCCCAAAGTAAGCGGCGATTAATCGCCGGGTGCCGCCTTCTATTGAGAACCCTGTGATTTACAGTGATTTACTAGTTACAAATAGTTATGGTGAGTCCTGGGACTCATCTTATAAAAAATCATGAGACTATGTCCATAACGAATGAGCTCCTGTTGAAAACAACAAGGGGTCATAAATTAAAAGTGCTTGAGCCTTCATGTAACCAGACAGTTAATCTGGAGACAGATGACAAAACCCTTTACTGCAGGTTACTGATATTAAAATATAGACTAAAACAAATACAGTCGACAGTCCATATATTGACTCTTGTTTAAACCTATCTACACAGAAACCATGTTCTGTCCCCAAGGCTAAGGTGGCCGACATGGAGAGGTTCAACTGTATGCATACTACTTCAATAACCTTCAATAACGAACAGGACATTCTACCAAAAAATCTTCCAATCGATCAATGGCTCTTTGCGTCCCACGGGACACATTTCATGAATTATTTTGGGCCCCGTGGGACCCAAAGAACCATAAATCAATTGATTTTTTGGTAGAATATCCTGTTTGTGTGATTCCTGTGGCTTCTGTTTAATTTAGTCCCCCTCAATTTTGTTGTTTAAAATTAGAAGGACTACATTTTAATTTCAGTAAACTGTGAAAAAAAAAAGTTTTGGAGTCTGTCTTCAGATTAAGAGACTGCCTGGTCACAGTCCCAAGGGTTTTCAGTTTTGAACTCCTTGTTTTTTGAACTGGGACTTGATGGTTCTGGCCTTAGACACATGATTTTTCACAAGATGAGTCCCGGGACTTACCATAACTATTTCTACCAAAATAACTGAATAGGACAATTGCATGATTAAGAAATTTTACTACCACTACCAGAATCCTTCAGTTTGTTGCTTTTTTGTGCCAGTTAGAGCTATTGTAGTCAATTGTCATCATCGTGAAAGTGGCTTGTTGACCCCTGATCTAAATCAGGGTAAAATGAACATGAAACTTACGGAAACAGGAGTTTGGTAGGTTGAAAATTCATTTGTTACTGGAACCAACACAACCTGTTGGGCCATAACAGCTGTAGAAAAAAAGAGGAGTTAGCTACAGTTACAATCCGCAATATTATTATAAGGGGAGGTTCCACCCCGAGGTCCAACCCCTTACCCTTTTATATACTTTTTTTTTGACAGAAACAGTACCCCCTTCTTATACCTTTCATTGACAAATGGTACTCCTTTCACACGCCTAGTTTACAATTTCGCATCCGTTTTAACTGCTACGCACTTTCTTTAAAGTATGAATAAATCACACAACTACAAATTTCTCTTGACTTTTTCACAACAATAAAATCAATCTGTAGCCCTAAAACTTACAGCTCATAATAACCTGAAGCCTAAAAATAGGCACCCCTTTCAGGCATAGCCTCTCCGTATAGGTCATTACAGTCAGGGTGAGGGGAATTATTCCACAATATTACATGATTAGTTTTTAAAAAAATAATAGTTGAACAGAGAGTCAAAGTCTTGATACATCTTTTCAGGGTCAAAACCCAGTTCATTTGTTGTACATCTATGAGGGACAGATTTTTCCCAACTAATCGAGGCGCAGATCTAGGATAAATACTGAGCAATTCCTAAACAAGCACCAAAGGCACAAGCTTCTAGGGCGGTCAGGGGGCATGCACCCCCGAGAAATATTTGGATTTTGTCTACCTTAAGTCACCTTTCCTGGGTTTCTGAGTCATTCAGACAGGATATTGACCAGAGTTTAACCTTGGAAATTTTTTTCCTTCAAAAATATATTTATTTATGAAAAATCAGACCGATTTTTGAAAAATAGTGGAAACCAGTGTGGATCCATGCCTGTAATCAGAGGCGCTACCCAGATCTTATAAGTAAACATCGGTAGGAGTTTCAGCACTCTTTCCTCAGACATTAATAATGCTTTGAGGGGGAGCCACAGATTAACTGCAGGTCTTATAATGAAAACTATACTGTACACTTTTAGCAAATTAATTTTACCTATAAATACTAACCTCCATTTTGTGATGAGCTTTCTCCTGCCAAAAACTGGCTTGATAACTAAAGTTAACACAAACAGCTTGTTTAGTACCAACCTCTAAAAACTTTAATCATATGTGTGCTTATTAATTCTTTCACAATAAAATAAAATAAAATAGATAGTGAGATAGTGATGCAGTCCTGTTGCACTGAATAATCAGTTGAAGCCTTTTTTTTCTATAGAGCTGTAATCAGTTGCATAAAACACTTGAGACATAGCCTGCGCGCAGTTGAAATTAAACTCTGGTTAACTCCGTTTGCGAAACAGCGCCGAAATCCTTGTTCTGGACTTCCAGCTGTGTACCCAGATTTGAGTACGCGCCACGATTGGCCAGTTAAAAAAGGCCTTTGTTTTGTTTGTCGTGATCGCCAATCAGGTTGAAGGGGAATTCGAAACGCACTCCCGGTAATCCGTTGAGTCCGTTGGGGGTCCAGAACAAGGATCTCTGCGCTGCTTCGCAGATGGTACTAATCAGAGTTTAGTTATCGTCTGCACGCAGGCTACTTGAGACACTGTCCCTCATTTTTGCTTAAATGGCCTGTCCATGATCTTGTGCTTGTGATCCCCCCCTCCTCCCCTTATCAAAGTTGTTAGCAATACAAGACCATACTTGGTGGAACAACTTTTAATGAAAGGGAAGGGAAGGGGGGGGGGGAGGGCCGGTCAGTATTGTATATAAGAGACGTGCAGCTAGCAGCGATTTGAAGTAAAGAAAGGCAGGTTTTTCATCGTGTGTCTCAACATTTTTGCAACTGGTTGTGGCTTCACCAGATAAAAAAATGAAGTAAATGTTGTGTTCATTACTCAGGAATCCCTGCTATGTTTACTTTAACAAAAAAAAAGGGTAAACAGATCCTTTTTGACCAAGCCTTTTTGGTCAAGATGGCCAGCCATTGGTTTCATTCTTTTTTGTTCTTGGACCTTAACTTCCCTCAGTCCATATTACCAGGCAAAAAAAAAGACTCCAAGAATCCAACCATCTTCAGTTGACACACATACACACATACAAATGAATGAGATTTTGGTTCAGGGTTGTCAAAAGTATACGGCTGC